TTGTCACTACAAATTATCACTCCAATTTACCAATGCCAATTAGCAGTACAAATTATCTCTACAATTATCACCACAAAAAGTTTATTTGATTTTTTTAATTAGTGAGAAAAATCAGCATTAGGTGGGAGAAGTGCATTATTAACTACATTTGTAGCTGTAAGTATTTTTTTTATGTCTTTTTTTGTATGAATCTTGAAGAAATTTGCTGGTTTTATCTTTTTTATTTTTTCCTGTGGCGTACATTTGAATAAGTTAAAGAGGTTAAACAAAAACCTTCAAAAAGGCCTTCACAAAACCAAATTTATCGTAATTTTATGAATATAAATTTTTTCCCATTCATATTATGCAAATATATTTTTTTTATGGAAAGATATACAATTTCATACCAAAAGCAGTGACTTATATATGTAAATAAAGATGCATAGATGATTCATATTTGAACTAGGTCTGTTGCTAAGTAAAATCACCCACATGTTACATTGCTACATAAAGCCACAGAGAATGTAAATAAGATTTTGATTTATTTGTTTGTAAATGGTTTAACATTGTTTTCAATGGTATTTTACTTTACGTAATGACAGTTGTTTTGACTTTACTACCTGGGCTAATGTTAAGTTTATTTACTGACAGATCTCTTACCCCACTTCAAATCCACCCCCTAATGTGAGCAAATATGTTTTATTACTAGAGAAACATTGTCGGAAATTAAATACAGTACTTTATGGTTTAGTATTTACATATACTTTTTTTTTCTTTTTTTTATTGGGGGAGGGGGGTCAATATTTTACATGTATCTTACAATGGTATTTGATCTATAAAGTAAATTTACATTGCTACATTTTATTAGTTAAAAGGTAAGTGTAAGGTTGTATGCTCAGATAAAAGTTCAAAGATTGTATGCTCAAAGGTTGTATGTTCAGATAAAAGATCAAAGGTTGCATGCTCAGATAAAAGATCAAAGGTTGCATGCTCAGATAAAATATCAAAGGTTGCATGCTCAGATAAAAGATCAAAGGTTGCATGCTCAGATAAAATATCAAAGGTTGCATGCTCAGATAAAAGATCAAAGGTTGCATGCTCAGATAAAAGATCAAAGGTTGTATGCTCAGATATAAGATTGAAGGTTGTAAACTAGGCTCATAATATAATTTCACACCTTGTATGCTTAGTAAATAATTATATGTTAAAAGTCAATGATTATATGATTACATATAAGTTTTAGTGATGTATGCTTGTATACAAGTTCAAAGTTTATGTAAAAAAGGTCAAGGTCATATATTCAGGTTAAAGTTGTAGGCTGTCCCTATTGGTGAGCAGGTTTACTTAGGAATAAAAATCTCTTAAGGATATTTCTTGCAAATTTTACTATTGACAGAAATAATATAACATTTAGGAAAATTATTTACTTCAGTCCATAAACTGGAAAAGATTTATCAACTCCAAAATTTCTTTTTTTTCTGCTTTTCTGCTGCATCATGCTTTATTATAACCATTTTCAGTATCGGTAAAAAATGTGCACACTTTTCTGTAAAACGGGATAATACCACATTAGCAGGCTAATTTGCATACTTGTATAACACTGTCTCATCAGATTCTTAACCACACAAATAAATGCTCCTTGTTATATAAGTTTCCTGGTACAATTATAATTATTTATATAGTCATAAATTCTTAGAAATATTGCTAATTAACCGCAGAATAATAATTCTCCTCGTTGTTTTCTGGCTTTAAAAATTGTTGGTACGTTACACCAGACGGAAAAAAATTGAATAAATCTCTAATTGCATGAAGTTTGTAAATTGAGTGAAGGACATATGCCCTCATGGACAAAAGCTGTCCTAACAACAATCTAAAAATCTAAAAATAGCTTAGTGTACAAAAGCCCTTCCATCAAATTTATAGGTCAGATAGAAGCCCTCCAATCATATTTACAGATAGGACAAAAAGCCTTCCCATCAAATTTACAGATAGGACCAAAGCCCTCCCATCAAATTTTACAAATAGGACAAAAAGCCCTCCCATGAAATTTACAGATAGTACAAAAGCCCTTCCATCAAATTTATAGGTCAGATAAAAGCCCTCCAATCATATTTACAGATAGGACAAAAAGCCCTCCCATCAAATTTACAAATAGGACAAAGCCCTCCCATCAAATTTACAGATAGGACAAAAAGCCCTCCCATCAAATTTACAGATACTATTAGGACAAAAGCCCTCACATCAAAGTGACAGATAGGACAAAAGCCCTCCCATCAAACTTACAAGTAGGACAAAAGGTAAATCTCCCATTAAATTTACAGATAGGACAAAAACCCTAGATAGGACAAAAACAATCCCATCAAATTTTCACGTAGTACAAGAGCCTTATTTCCCCTGCAGAAAAAGGTATAATCAAAGTTAATTTTTGTTAATGATGGTTGGAAAACGAAAAGGAAGAAGAATTGATAACCAATTTCCATTGAAATTAAAAAATTGGCAACATTTTTTAGATGTACATTAATATCAAATAACAATTAAGATTTAGAAAGTGTGGGTAGTCTCAGGAGCAAAGCATTTTGAGATGTTGAGGTGGGGAGAGTAAGTTTGGGTATGATTCCGTTTATAAAAACAGCTTTTAACTTTGTGAGATCTTTATGACAGATATAAATTAAGATATATAATTATAGTTTATGTGATTGTTTTATAGCAATATTATGATGTGTCAGAAAGTACAAGCTCATTAAATTAATGGAAGATGAACTTTAATTTTGACTCAAATTAAAATTTAAATTAACTATGAAATATTGCGGATGTTTAGGATAATAAGAAAATATAGATGGTGTTGGTATTGATGTTTTGAAAAGGTTTTGCACGAAATAATTATAGTGTGCTAAAAATTCAATGAACTTTAGACAATTTCTTTTGTGTTCATTTTGTACATCCCTCTAAACTGTTGCAGGTAGACTAAGATTGTCCATGTTGAGTGTCCTGCCAGATATTGTTAAGACTGTGATTTGTTAATAATTAGCAGAATTTACTTTGTGCTTTGTTGATATTTGGCAGAATTGACTTTGTGATTTGTTGATATTTGCCAGAATTGACTTTGTGATTTGTTAATATTTCACAGAATTGACTTTGTGCTTTGTTGATATTTGGCAGAATTGAAATTGTGATGTGTTAATATTTGGCAGAATTTACTTTGTGATTTGTTAATATTTGGCAGAATTGACTTTGTGATGGTTAATATTTGGCAGAATTGACTTTGTGATGGTTAATATTTGGCAGAATTGACTTTGTGATTTGTTAATATTTGGAAGAATTGACTTCATGATTTGTTAATATTTGGCAGAATTGGTTTATTAGTATTTGGCAGAATTTACTTTGTGATTTGTTAATATTTGGCAGAATTGACTTTGTGATGGTTAATATTTGGCAGAATAGACTTTGTGATATGTTAATATTTGGCAGAATTGATTTTATAATTTGTTAATATTTGGTTGAATATACTTTGTGATTTGTTAATATTTGGCAGAATTGCCTTTGTGATTTGTTAATATTTGGCAGAATTATTGTTGATTTTTTTAAATTTCACATACATGATTCATTTGGATTTTTAGGTTTGGTCATTGTGCATTGTACTTGATGAGAAATAATGTTGTGATTTTTTTTTTTTTGACGATTTTCTATGAATTGTGTACATTTAACAAATGATGTTTGCTTGAAATGTGTACAACCTTATATTAAACAGGAGTCACAGATTGCTGACATGTATGGCATGTACATGTCATCTTTCTAAAATTGTCAGATGGGGAGAAATAAAAAGACTTAAGTTTATTAAATGTGAAACTGTTCGAAACTCCCAGAGGAAATTTTCTTTAAAATGAGATGGTGTGTTATGTAAAGAAATAAATTGGAAGCAATATTATAAGCATTGTATTGATTTTTACCTGAAAACATCGGCCCTGGATTTACATAGATAATTACGAAACATGAGACTATACTTGCCACTAAAGTTCTGTTTCATTTATAATAATCTTTACTAGGAAAAAAATATGAAGATAACGGATATTTGATGAGTGAAGGGTCAATACTGAATTTATTCAACAACTGTAATGAATTTAGTAATAAAGATACACGAATAAAATATATTCTGTTTATCACATATCTAAAGTAAGAACTGTCTGCAGTAAAGTAGAATTACTTTTCACTGATAGGCCTATAGTGAAATGCTTATTATTTAGCACATCTTTATGCTATGTTTGTATAATGCAAATGATGTCATGTCAACATAATATGCACAGATGTGCAATATGGTTTTTATTTACCACAGGTGTTGGCATCAGGATTACATGTGATTAATCGAAAAGTTTTATTTTCCTTGCAAGTTCATCCTGAAATACTATGAAACTTAACACATTATTTGAGACTGACAATTATAAGTAACATACAAGAACATTTAACTCGAGATCTTTCATTGTTTTTACTGAATAATTCCCTTTGTAAACTAAACAAAAAAATTCTTTCTTAAATTTTTTTTGCAAGTTATTTCACCACTACTATTGAAGCTTTGCACATGTCTTCAGGGTCCCTGTTGTAGGACAATTTTGAAGACCTGGAACTGTAGCATGACATTTTAAAATTACTTCCCTTTGTGAAACTTAAAATAATTTAGGGTTATGGAATTTGGCTAATATACCTACCAAGCATATACGAAAACTCAGTTCTTACTGAGGTTACAGTGAATAACTGTGTAGACATTTATGGACTCGGGGCAGGTCTTTTTATTTCAGGGCATTGTGAATAGTACTAACAGCATTTGCATTGATAACAATGTATATATATCTATACCAAAGCATTGCACTTGGAATTTCTTACTAAAATAGCATTTGTATCTTCAAAGCCTTAGCTTATGCAGTGGAAAAAGCTGCTAGTGCTAAATAATTTTGTATTCCAAAGATTTAGATGAAACTTTCAAAGATTTCAATTATATTATGGATGTAAAACAAATTTTTTTATTTCAGCGATTACCAGAACAGAGTGCAAGTTCCCCGTACAAGTCTGTGCCAGATTTATCCTTCAATAAGATAAACGCACCAGTCCTGCCCGGCTTCCGAGATGCTGAAAATATATTACAGCAGGTGCAAAAGAACCGAGGGTACTTAGAGTCGAACTTCGAGGCAGTCATGCGCGCCAGACAAGAAGTTGAGGTATACAGCATGCTCGAAGCTGTATACAATGACAGGTATTTTAACATTTCGATAATTTGTGTATATTTCATAGTATATTCAATGTTTGACATTTGACCTTTGGAAAGGTCGCAGTGTGTTGAACTTTATATTTAGACGTTGGCGTAGAAGGAAGCAGTTAAGCTGGATAGCTTCCTCACATGAAAGAATCCAAAGTCCCTGTCGGGATTCGAACCCACAGCGGTGAGGGGCAAGTGGTTTGAAGTCAACGACCTTTACCACTGGGCCACGGACGCCCCTTCGATAATTTGTGTATATTTCACTGTATATTCAATGTTTGACATTTGACCTTTGGAAAGGGCACAGTGTGTTGAACTTTATATTTAGACGTTGGCGTAGAAGGAATCAGGCGTTAGATTTAAATATCATCTTTTGATTAAGGAAATAAATAAGAAAATCGACTTGTGTTTTCCCCTGAACTACAAGGAAATGAAAATGAAGTAGATTCCAGTGACGCCCATGTAATGATGTATGTTTAATTTGATACCTGTAATAATGTGAAAAGACGTCTGTCACAGCTTTTGTATCATGAAATTAAATATTTTATTCCCTGTATTATTAAAGCTTATCAGTTTTAGACAGGTTTTATTGTTTACAGTAATCTATTGTTGGAGGAAACTTTGATTTAATGAGAAAACAATGAATTTCTTGAATGGGGGTACTAAGTTCTGAACAAAATTTCACCATCACTGCACAAAATTTCTTTATTGGACTTTCTGAATGAAAATGTCTAGAATGTCAATATCAGAAGATAAAATTTTGCTACCAACAATATATACATGTAGATGGGTCAGTCGGCACAAAGGTGAAGACAGACTTGACTCTATGCTAGTGGTGTAGGAAAGGCATTATTGCCACTAGCTAAGTTAGAATGACAGAAATGCCTGACTGATCCGGTTTTATTTAAGTGTTGATGACCTGTAAGCGTGTAACCTTGATTCCAGTGCAAAAATTGAGGAATCAACAGAATAGAGTGGCTGTTTGGAAGTTTAGGATGGTTTAAATTTTTCTATTTTCCTGGTTCCTAACTTACTGGGAAGAAATAATTGGTAATTTGGTGTTGTATTTCAGTACTGACCAAGAGAAAGTGAGAATACAGAAAATGGTGGACAAATCTATACAACGGTTAAGAAGGGAGGTTGAGGTAGGTTTTGTACCTTGTCTTGTATATAATATTAATGTCTTGACTGTTTTCTATCTATGTATTTAATGCTTTAATAATAAAGGTCCATTCACCCTTTTGTGTAGATATAATAGATAGATATAAGTTTGCTTTTGTTTGGTTGGAGTGGTGGAGAATGGTGGATGATGAAATTGGGCTGAATATTGTCTCAGTCTTAAATTGGGGCAGGTGAGGGATGGGGGGTACAATCAAAACTATACAAAAAGAATACTGAGGTCTGGTTCTTAAAATGTGTAACTTGATCAAAGAAACAACACAAGTTAGAATGATATTCTATTTTAATATTTAAATTTTTTTTAACTTTCTTATTCAGTACTTAAATTTTTTTTAAAACACGTGCCCTTCTTTAAACGTTAAAATTTTCCATGTAAAGTTTAACGGGTTAAGAATATTTACCATAAATCACAATGGAGACGAGCGTCGTTACAATATTTCAATGACAGATTAAATAACATGGTCATATATCAAATAAAACAATTTAACAGCAGCCTATCCTGCACTCAGTATCAAGTTTGTTTGAAAGAGATGAATGGGAATCATTAAAACTGATAAAATGAATTTTTTCATCACAAATAAAATTTCTTATATTTGGAAGGCCAAAAGCCTAAAAAGATAAAATTTGAAATTCTTTTGCTCTGAAAAAATAATGCAAAGGATAATAGAATCAAAATGAAAACATATTTTTGTGCAAATCCTTACTTAATAATCCATCAAGCTTACAGAACATCTGTGGTTCTTCTCAGGTGCCCGTTTGTGCCTGAAATAATGTACAGAGGGGCACCTGAGGTCTTCCTCCAGGAGAAAAGGTTGGAAAGTTGACCTATACTGTGTTGGTGTGATGTAAAACCCAACCAAAAACAAACAAAAAAGTATGAATAATAATTTATCATGGTGAAAGTATGTATTTGACCAAGTGAACTATATTACGGATAAAAAAAAAATTGGAAATTGCTAATTAAAATTTTACAGGGATAATATATATTATGAACATTTTTTTTGGCCGCATTTATCATGTTCTGCGGCTTATTTTCCTACTATGAATGGTTTATATACAACTGTAATGTTTTTTGTTGTTTATCCCAAGATTTACCAACAGTCTGAGAAATGTCAAGGTTTAGTCAGCATAACAATGGTTTTGATGTTTTTCATTTACATGCATTTATTTTTTTTATTTTATTTATTATTTTTAGTACTAAATTTTCCAAGTCATATGATTCCTCCCCACAATGACATTTAATTGAGAGCAAAAAATAAAACAGTATCTGGTAATACTGTATACCTAGTTAACTCTGATGTCGGCCTTATAATGGCGAATTTATTAGCATAATTGACATATGAATCTCTTTCATATAAAATTTGAAAAAGAATTAGTCTTTTGTTGACTAAATAAAAATCATCAAAATAAACTCACTTTACTAATTTATTTATTAGTTCCAGTATGTACAAAAGAATTCTTTTCAGAGCAGTTACATAAGCAATCTTTCCAGATATCTGCAAAATTTCTTGATTTACTTCCTATTCGTAATGAAATTGAGATCCATCAGCTGCCTCAGGTCATCCTTAATTTCAAGGCTGTATTCTTACTGATTGTTTACAAAACATCATTGTTGTACAAATGTGTGGTCATAGTAACCTTGATGTCATCTCAATGTGGCAAGACTTTCATGTCTTGTCTGTCTGTTTGTTTGTTTGTTTGTTTGTTTGTTCGTTTGTTCATCAGTCTGTCTGTTTATATTAATTTGAGAAATACTTTTTTACCTCAGCGAAAACATCTTTTAAATTATTTAATAAAGCTGTAGCAGTCATTCTTGGACCAAAATTTCATTTTCACAAACTGATATAAGACCTTGACCTCTAAATGACCTTGACTTCAAAGGTCAAATTGTACAAGGAGGGATATGTGTTTGAGAAACACTTCTTGTTTCGTTCAGGATCTTACTATTGAAATTTTAATATTGACTTTTCTGAAATTTAAAATAAACAGTTTCAAATTCAAAGCAAACACTAACATCCCTTTCACAAAATCAGGAAAGAAAAAAAGGTAATGAAAGTAAATTTCTCTTTTAATTCCGCTATATTGGTATAGACATTCTACGATCATTTTGTATTATATAGAGGTCTACTTTTGATAAATTGCCAGCCATCGTTACAAAAAAATGATGTTGTTATGCAAGATGAATTTGATAACTTATCAATGATGCATTTAAACCAACAATCTTTCTTGTCTAGACAGTAAACTCGTTTTCTTTTCTTAGAAATGTTTACAACATTTCCAGAAGGTTTTCCTATCAGTTCTTAATATACTGGCAGTTATGAGTGTTTTATGTATATATATATATAAATTATATATATAACTCACCTGAGACATTAAAAATTACGTGTGATAAGTGATCGTGATATACATGTACATGAGTACCCTCCCCCTAGATTTGTTATTGCTTATGTGAGATCAATTTTCTGTCGATGAAATGTGTGCTATACCCTCCCTAGCTTAGCAGGTATCTTTGCTGGGTACATCAATTTGACAATTATTGTTACAATGTTTAGACACTTGTTTAAAACCTTGTTTCTTTGGAATTTCTTTGTAGCATTGCAGTTGAATGTATAATATCTCCTTACCATAGCACAGAGAATAGAATGAAAGCCTTAAGTTGCCTCTACACCTCTCCTTTTGCATCCTCTCTATCTATCTTCTCCAACCTTTCTCTCACATACCTGCTTGCTTTTCATTTTAAGTGACCCTGTTACATTCCCTGTCCAACCTCTCACATTCACTTTCCCTTCTTATCTCCCATATGCTCTCTCACATTTTCCCCTCACTTTCCTTCAATGTCACTTTCCCTTTATACCTTCTCCCTTCCCTGTTGAACCTCTCACATTCTCCTTCCCTTCTTATTTCTTACATTTTTTCTCACATTTCCCTTCACTTTTCCTTAAAAGTACCTGCCTCCTTCTTTCCTTCCCAGTCTAACCTCTCACAATAACCTTTTCCTGCTCACCCACATTGTCCTTCCCTTTCTCACCCCCAGGTCTCTTCCTTTTCTCACCCCCAAACTTCCTTTTCACACTCCCCATTCCTCTGCTTTCCCTTTACTACCTACTCTTTCCATTCCCTTCAACAATTTCTTATTTCTTGATTCTGAACATTTTGCTCTCTATCTTCACTCTTATCCTTCACCTATTATTGAGGACAGACATTTCATGGGCAGATGTGACATTGTTCTGTAAACAAGTTGGTCACAGATTTTTGTTATATTATAATTATTATTCAAGGATATTGTATTGAGTAATACAAGAATGAGTAATATTTAGTTGTTCAAGTGATTAAAGAAAAAGAATACGAACCAAAATGACTGAAAAGCGCCAGGTGTCTATGACAGGTATCATTGATAAGTTCATACAAAATGTGTGGGAACTGTAGAAACTCGCGACGGGGATGACGTAGCTTGTATTTTACCTTAACGACGCAAAAATTGCATGTTTGCATGTTTTAAATGTAACGCTTTTTACCAGGCACAAGTAATGTTTGAATTTTTGTCCTTCATTTCTTTAATAGCGCGAGGTCACAGATGATATGGTGATATCGGAGATCAAGAAAAAAGGGGCAACTACTGTTCCAGGGGCCGTAAAAATGCCAGAGCCTGTGGCCGCCCCGAAACAGGGTCAGAAATATGGTATTAGAGGAAGGCTACAACCAAAAGTGGAACCTAAAGTGGAACCAAAGAAAACGGTAGCAAAGAAACCGGCCAAAGAGGCTGTTCATAAGTTCTATAGGCCGCCTCCAAAGGTAAGATAAAACATGACAGATTTATTTCTGAGATATATGTATGCAATCTGTGGTTCGTCCTTTTATGAATGTCTCAAGACAAGAAACACCCTTCTCCAATTTCATTACGATTTTATTTTGCTCCAGTTTAAGCTAGTTTATTTAAACTAGTTACTGATACAGCTAAAATCTTACAGAAATATGTGTGGTTTTATGTTCACATCCTGAACAATCTAATACTGATGTCATAGGAAAGGAAATGTAATCGTGACTCAATGGCCTGGCCTTGTAATTTCTGGGTGAGGAGGCAGACACAACTTTGGCCCATGTTCCTTGTCACAGTTATAAACTTTTAATTATACAGCCATATTCAATAATTGTATATTTTTAGCTCGACTTTTCTATGAAAAGGGGAGCTATCCTACTCGCCCCGGCGTCGGCGTCGGCGTCGGCGTTAGCGTTAGCGTTGGCGTCACACCTTGGTTAAGTTTTTCGTACCACCCCACTTTATTTCAGAAGTATTACAAGTATGGCTTTGAAACTTACCATACTTGTTCACCATCATAACCTCCATCTACAGACAAGAGTACATAACTCTGTCAAGGTTTTTGACAGAATTATGGCCCTTTTTTGACTTAGAAAGTGTATTGAGCTTGGTTAAGTTTTTTGTACCACCTCACTTTATTTCAAAACCATTGGAGGTATTGCTTTGAAACTGACCATACTTGTTTACCATCACGACCTTCATCAACAGACAAGAGGACATAACTCTGTCAAGGTTTTTGACAGAATTATGCCCCTTTTTGACTTAGAAAATACATTGAATATGGGTAAAATCCACTTATTGCCTTAACCCTTTGAGATATTGCTTTGAAACTTTTAATGCTATTTCACATCATTACCCCCATCTGTACGCAAGAGAAGGTAACTCTGTCAAGGATTTGTTTTAAAAATTAAGGCCTTTTATCGACTTAGAATCTTGGTTAAGTTTTTAGTACCAGTCCACTTTTTGACTGAACTGTTTGAGATATTAATTTGAAAGTTGGAATACTTGTTTACCATCATGGTCCCAAAACATGGGCAGGAGAAGGTAATTCTGTTAAGGATTTTATTTGAATTATGGCCCTTTTTGACTTAGAAACTCAGTTAAGATTTTCATTCTTGTCCACTTGTTGACTTAACCATTTGAGATATTACTTTGGAAGTTGGAGTTCTTATGTGCCATCATGAGACCTATCTGTAAGCAAGAGAAGATAACTCTGTGAAAATGTTTCTTGATTTGTACTTAGAAATTCCTAGTTAAAGTCTTGTGTGCCCTTAACTGTCAAAGTTTTGTTTTATAGGCAAGCACTAAAAAAGTCGAGCGCGCTGTCCTTCTGACAGCTCTTGTTTCTTATTTTGTGACTTGTTTTGCTGAATAAAGTCGGTTTAAAGAAAAAAAATCTTCTATTTTTTGGTTTATAAAAAGCTTTAAATAACACTTTTAAGATATTAGAAATATCCACATTTTTGTGTAAGGATATACATGAAAGAAATAGAAGTGTTGTCTCAAAGAGAGAAAACAAGTTAATATAGAAAAGCTAGACTGATTTGCAACATCTTTTCTTGGGCAGACTTGATAAATCATGTCCTGCTGAAATATGCTCAGCTGGTATTCCATCTTTCTTCCCTTTGCATGAGGTTTTATTTGTCTATTTTTGTGTAAATTTAATATTTATTTGCTTTGATATTGACAACAATCACATTGTGAAATATTAAGTTATTTACCATAAAAACCTCAAAAGATGCATGCTTTGATATAAGTATTACGTAAGTATGTGTTCATAGTCTTAAGAGTTTGCCTCACTACCACCTAGATGGGTCACAGCCTGTCAAGGACTATGATATCTTTGACATGAGAATGCTATCCAGCTACCTTATGGAAGGTTGGTGGTTCTAATCTAATGTGCAAGCTTGTGCATGAAATAATTCACAGAGGAACCCCAACAGTACGTCATATGAGTATGACCTTTACAATGTTGTTGTGAACAACCTGAACCTACTGTATTCGTCTGATGGATTTGCCCTGCTTTGAATTTGGAACAGTCCATTCAAAAGTTAAGGGCGTTCTATATCAAAATAAAAAAATCAAGCTACCCACAAAATACTGGAAGAGCCTAGTCAGAAAGCACGGCTTTGCAGGCTGGCCAGGTTCCATGCTGATGCCTAGGGTTAATCGTTTTTGATTCCATGAGGTTATGGGTTTAAATCTAAACCAAAGAAAAAAGTAATATGTGGTCAAATCACAATAAAAAAGAGGAGGGAATGATTAAATATAGATTTAAGTGATCATGGAATGGACCGACTAAATATAGAATTAAGATATCATCTAAGCATTGCTTTTATATGATGATCTACTTTTGCTGTAAAAGTATATATCGGGCAGCTCTGTTGTCACACCTACGTAGTAGTCGATTAAAAGGCAATTTGTGACACTTAACACATCAGATGTTGCCTTGATATTTGATGCGATGAATCATACGAGTTCACACCATTTAACATTGTAAATAATAAATATAGGTTAGCTGCATGGTATGGTGATGCAATCACATGTGAGGAAATTTCCTCATCGCTTTGTTCCGATTGCATGATTTTTGCAATATTGATTAAAATGCATTTGAAGCGTTTATTTTTAGACATTTATGCATTATTAATTTTTTCAGCATTTTGTGAATTTCAGATGTAAACTTTATTAATATAAAGTAACAAAATTCATTGAGTAAACCAGTTTTATTGTGTACTTTAGATGAATGGTTTTTTTTTGGTTTTTTTTATGAGTACATTGTATATGCAAATATTTGGGTGTCTGAATTTTACTGTGTATTTCTTGGTCAATTAAATCAACCAACTTGACACTTCTGGTCCATTACAGTGTATTTGTTATAATTACACAAACAATGTTTAAATACACTTAAAGGAAAAAAATATGTTATTTGACCAAATAGTATCAGTCTTCTTGTGGAAAATTCAAATACGTTATAGTACTTCAGGGCATCCTTTATGTCAGTCAGTACTTATGAAGTGTTTATAAACTATAATTTCCCTATAAAGTTGTGAATATAATTTGTCAAAGGGAGACAACTGGAAGAATGCCAGTTTTTTTGTTTTACAGAATTTTCTCCCCTGTGTTACCAGTCTGATTTGTTCAAAATGTATTTTCTAAAATTCACTAGTCAAGACTTTGCAGTTTTTGCCTGATAAGACTGTCTATATTTTAATGAAAAAAAATAATTGTGAAATGAATGGTATATAAAGGGAGTTAATCTGAATAGATGGTTTGACCAATAAAGGGAGTTAATCTAAACAGATAGTTTGATCCACCACTACTACATCTGAAATTATAACTAAAATACACATAACTTGTACAAAATGTGCATCATTGAAAGGAACAAAATTTTAATTTGGATTAATAAGGTTACTAAAAAAATATATTAAATAATTTTAGAGAAAGTCAGTGTTTGAGGATGAAGAAGCCATGACAAGGATCTACGGGAAAGCTTCCTACCAGAAAGGACGGACAACGGTGAAAGACCCATACCTTCACTACCAGAACACAGCAAAACAGAAACCTTCCAGACCCGCAGGTTATGCTGAAGTGAAAGGTAAGCTCTTGCACAGTAGAAACTGACTGTCAGACCACCTTTTACAAGCAATTTTTTGTGGTATAAGACCGCTCTGAATTCTGAGTCTTTATAAAATCTTATTTATCTGACTTAGGCAACTACATGCGAACATGGCTACAGTGACAGCTTGTTTCACTACACTGAATTGTTGCTAAGTGACCGTTAAAAATTATCCAAAAGTTGTAATTTGAAAATTGGCTATGTTAAAATAAGGCATTTTATTCAAGGCATAATATTTTGGTACCAAATCCTCTGTAAGCTGTTTTTTTATGTAAATGATTTTTACAAGTAGGCAACAGAAATGCACAGTAAACATGATAATATGATAGGCAGTAGTGTAATTTATTTATAAGACATACATGTACTTATTTCATGCTTTCCAGTGTTTTATTGTAATGTATCTAGACGATTATATTCTGATAAACCAATAGTGAAATTTATAAAATATAATTTTCACTGTAGCCGGACTATATCTGAATGCGGATGAAAAGAAAATCATAACTAAATGGAATAACAGCCAGAAATAAATGCTGTCATGCGTAAATTTTGCTTCTTTAGAAAAAGAAAGTCGATGTCATCATACATCATGTAAAAATGTAACAAAATATGACAAAATGTAACAGACCTATATTTTAAAATTGATAATGTGACGTCATGATGTGATGACAAAACAAGGGAGAATGTGCGACGTTACGCGGCAAAATTAGTAAAAAAGTACTCAAAATCACTTAAAAAGCATGAAATAAAAAGAAAATTTCTTTGTTTTAAATATAAGATTGAAATATATTTCATTCGTGAACACCAGCTATTATATTTTCACTCGTGGTGTAGCCACTCGTGAAAATATTGCATCTGGTGTTCACTCAGTGAAATTATATTTCAATCTTACATGCAAAACAAACAAATACCCTCTATATCCCTTACCTTTTTAAGTAGTTATAGAGAAGATAATTGAAAAACAATGTTACATTAATGTTCCTATTGCCTGTGTAATGTGTTATCTATGTCATATTGTTAGATATGTGTGATGAATTCATTTAATAATGAAAATGGAATTGTCAATTATTGTCAGTTTGAAGGATTGTCAATTATTGTCAGTTTGAAGGACTTCAATATCAAAAATGATGAAGGACATTATTTCTAGAGGTGGTCACACTGCACCGACATGGCGGATAATCCAGTTCTATACTATTGGCGTATAAAAAAGCTTATTATTGATGTTAACACTTGATCAGTTAAGATATTGGAACACCTTGTATTTCAGGTACAGAAATGATGTCGTCAAAGACTCAAACAGCAAGTGGTGGTGTAAGGCAGTTCTACTTTAACCCTGCCACAGGAACGTATATACCCATAGCATCCAGTGCCGCTGCAGGTAAACTTGTGTAACATTGTAATGTATATTTAATACACATGTACATTATTTGACTTTGCTAAAACAATAACGTATAATCACATTACATTATAGATGAGAAGTTAAACGCCCAAGTCTAAAAATGAAATACAAGTTCTTTTCTGTTCTCTCTTCAGTTAATTAATACAGATTGTTTATTTCCATAGCAACTGATGAATATGTAATACAATTTTTTCTCAAAAATAGCTACAGTATTTTCAAAATTTATAAAATTTATTTATAAAATTTGTTAGTAACCTTTGGAACTCATATAATCAATAAAATTGACTGTTTTACATTAATCTGAATTAAGATAAGCTATGCGTATTGTAAAACTTTTAAACTATTTGATACTGTTCAAAATGATAAGTGCGTTTTTTGACTGATAATCACAATTATCGATTTTGTAAAACCAGAATAAATAAAAAGACATTTAAATGTTCAAGAAACCTTGATTTTCACATTGACAGACTGAAAACTAAAAATTACATATTAAATGTTTTCTTTTACTAATTCTGACATCTGATTTTTCAGCACCCATACCTGGTCAGTTGATTCCCATGGCAGTACCTCTAGGAGGTCCAAGGATGGATGTTGGTCTAACAGTGCCTTCCAGTATGACCTCTACACCTGGCCCAGTGACCTTTAACCCTATATCTCAGGTGACAGCAGACGGCAATGTTTCCATGGTTTCTATGGGAATGGTGGATGAGGATAAGAAGAATAGACCGGAACTAGGAAAACAGGTAGAGTAGACATTAAAAGAACAAAACAAAACATTTCAAGAAGCTTTGTTTTAAAAGAACTCCACTAAGGTTCAGAAGCCTTTAAACATCAAATTTAAAATTCTTACATAGATCAACTGTGGCACTCAAAACTAAAAAAATATGCCAAACAAAATAAAGAAATAAACTCAGATTTAAATCGAAAATAAACTTTTATTGTGATACTTACACAGATTTGAGTTAAGACTATTTAAACAGTAAAAAATTTTGGATAAATTTGCACAAAATAATGAAAATAATTATTCTTGGGAAACTGAGTGAGGAAACGATCTTGTAACAAATTATCAGTTCAGACCCTACATCAAATGGTAAACAAATCTAGAATAAACTCACAAAACACTCATTCAAAAACTTTATGCAAAGTTAGAAAACCCTTACCAAGCTAAATGTATATAATGGACTTGCCCTGCTTTTACTTTGGAACAGTCCATTAACAATTACAGGAATTAAGTATCAAAATACTTTAAATTGAGTAGCAAACTGTTTCTACAGTTTCTAGACTGCACAAATAGGTGAGTTTATTATTGTTGCTGTTTACACCTTACACCATGCCATTTTGGATTTCTTAGTATCCCAGCACTTACGGCAAAAATAAAATCCAATTTCATAATTTAGGGACCCAACCGAACATTTTGGTATATGAAACCTTCTGTTTATGATCGGGGACCAGTTACTCCCCTAGATAAGCGACTTATTTGAGTCTATTTGCAGTTTAAAAATATTTGCTCATTTTAAGAATAAATACAGTCATGTGTTATAATTCGTCATATAATATGAATGATTTATCTATAAAAGATTTTGTTATCATGTAGGTATTGCCTGCGGTAGATATTGACACAGATATTTCTGAACTATCAGAGATCATGGAGGAAGGACCCATCTCCCCAGTCAGGTCAAGGACACCGGAATCGAAATCTAAGAAGCACGTTCATATTGTCTCGCCCCGTGGCACGCCCAACAAGACACCGGGAAAATCGCCAAACAAGCCGCATTATGAAGTTGTATACCACGAGGTAGGTTCATATCGACCGCTACTGCTTATAGTAATGTATAATGAAAAAGTTATACACTATTGAGGGTATAGGCCTAAGGGTATATGTTGTTTTGCGTACTGATAAGTGAAAACAACATACAATGTAATTGCCAATTATCAATCTTCAAATTTTTTAAAAATCATTTTATTTCTTGGTTTGAAATCTATCTGGTATGGATGCTTTCTTTTTGTGATCTGTCAACAACAATAATTTTTTCTCAGAAAGGGACTAAGTATTAATTTTATGGTCAAACCAGTAGGACACAGTTGAATATTATTAAAATTTTCACATGTGTAATTTTCGCATGTGTAAGTTCACCATTCATATATGATCTGATTATAAAATATGACTGAGAATCAGATGATTGTGTCATTTAAAAGTACATATTTCAAAACAAAATATTCTTTTGAGTTTTTCAAAACATTCCAAATTGTTTTTACAGCATCTATATTGTGCTTTGCATAGTTAATCTTATGATTGATCATTTTTCTAAGAAAAACTAGAGGGTTTTGCATAGTTTATAATTGTATCACTAAGCACGATCTATATACAGTTTGAATTTAGGACTGCATGGTTTATCACTTTATCTTTAGCCATCCTCATACTTTAAGCATATAAAATCGCATGTTTTTCACCTTATGTACATTGTATGACATATGTTTATTTAAGAAAACTTTCATAGGGTTTTGCATGTGTGTTTTTTTTTCACTTTGCCATAAAGCTAAGCATTTGTGAAACATTAATTTATAGCATGCAATGGTTATCAATATGTATTGAATCTTATGACTATATATTTCTATGCATGGTTTATCACTCTATTTCATTAAGTAAACATATAAGTATAAAGAAAAAACATGGTTTATCACCTCATTTCTTAAGCTATAATATTAATATCTATGTAGAGTTGTGCATTCTTTATCACTTGTGATGAAGCTTTCTTACACAGTTTAAGACTATGCATGGTTTATCACTTAACTCTGCAATTCTTTATTGTTTATCACTTTATTGTGTAATCATGCATTGTTTATCACTTTATTGTGAAGTCTTCAATGGTTTATCTCTTCATTGTGTAAACATGCATTGTTTATCACTTTATGATGTAATCATGCATTGTTTATCACTTTATTGTGAAATCTTCAATAGTTTATCACTATATTGTGAAGTCTTCCATGGTTTATCCCTTTTTAGCTCACCTTGCACAAAGTGCAGGTGAGCTTTTAGGATGGCCAACCAAATGGCGTCCGTCGTCAGTCGTCCGTCCACATTTTAAATATTCTAAGGACATCTTCTATGATACCGCAAGGCCAATGTTAATGAAACTTGGCAGGAATACTCTTTGTATGAAGCTCTATCAAGATTGTTCAAAGAATTCCATTTCATGCAGAACTCTGGTTGCCATGGCAACCGAAAGAAAAATCTTTAAATATCTTCTTTTAAAGAACCGTAAGAGCTAGAGCTTAGATATTTGGCATGAAACATCTTCTAATGAGTGTCTACCAAGTTTGTTCAAATAAAAGCCCTAGGGTCAAAATTGGCCCCGCCCCAGGGGGTCATTGATTTTCCCTATATGCATATAGTAAAAACTTAAAAAATCTTCTTTTAAAGAACCAAAAGAGCTAGAGCTAAGATATTTGGCATGAAACATCTTCTAGTGAGTGTCTACCAAGTTTGTTCAAATAAAAGCCCTGGGGTCAAAATTGGCCCGGCCCGGGGGGTCATTGATTTTCCCTATATGCATATAGTAAAAACTTAAAAAATCTTCTTATAAAGAACTGTAAAAGCTAGAGCTTAGATATTTGGCATGAAACATCTTCTAGTGAATGTCTACCAAGTTTGTTCAAATAAAAGCCCTGGGGTCAAAATTGGCCCCGCCCCAGGGGGTCATTGATTTTCCCTATATGCATATAGTAAAAACTTAAAAAATCTTCTTTTAAAGAACCCAAAGAGCTAGAGCTAAGATATTTAGCATGAAACATCTTCTAATGAGTGTCTACCAAGTTTGTTCAAATAAAAGCCCTGAGGTCAAAATTGGCTCTGCCCCAGGGGGGGTCATAGATTTTCCCTATATGCATATAGTAAAAACTTAAAAAATCTTCTTTTAAAGAACCCATAGAGCTAGAGCTAAGATATTTGACATGAAATATCTTCTAGTGAGTGTCTACCAAGTTTGTTCAAATAAAAGCCCTGGGGTCAAAATTGGCCCCGCCCCGGGGGGTCATTGATTTTCCCTATATGCATATAGTAAAAACTTAAAAAATCTTCTTTTAAAGAACCGTAAGAGCTAGAGCTTAGATATTTGGCATGAAACATCTTCTAGTGAATGTCTACCAAGTTTGTTCAAATAAAAAGCCCTGGGGTCAAAATTGGCCCCGTCCCAGGGGGTCATAGATTTTCCCTATATGCATATAGTAAAAACTTAAAAAATCTTCTTTTAAAGAACCCAAAGAGCTAGAGCTAAGATATTTAGCATGAAAACATCTTCTAATGAGTGTCTACCAAGTTTGTTCAAATAAAAGCCCTGGGGTCAAAATTGGCCCCGCCCCAGGGGGTCATTGATTTTCCCTATATGCATATAGTAAAAACTTAAAAAATCTTCTTTTAAAGAACTCAAAGAGCTAGAGCTAAGATATTTAGCATGAAACATGTTCTAATGGGTGTCTACCAAGTATGTTCAAATAAAAGCCCTGGGGTCAAAACTGGCCCCGCCCCGGGGGTCATTGATTTTCCTTATATGTGTATAGCAAAAACTTAAAAAAATCTCTTTGAAAAAACCCAAATAGCTTGAGTTTAGATATTATACATGAAACATCTTTAAGTAAATATCTACAAAGTTTGTTCAAATAAAAGCCCGGGGGTCAAAACTGGCCCTGCCCCAGGGGTGTCATTGTTTTTAACTATATGTGTATAGTAAAAACTTAAAAAATCTTCTTTTAAAAAAACCCAATGAGCTAGAACTTAGATGTTTAGCATGAAACATCTTCTTATGGGTGTCTACCAAGTCTGTTCAAATAAAAGCCCTTGGGTAAAAATTGGCCTGGGGGGGGGGGGGGGGCTATATACAGGTGAGCGACCTCAGGGCCATCATGGCCCTCTTGTTTCATGAAATCTTCCATGGTTTATCACTATTTTGTAAAGTCATGCATGATTTATCACTTTAATGTGAAGTCATCCATGGTTTCTATGGTTTATCACTTAATTATCCATTGTGTTCACGTTATTGTGAGGTCATTCCTGGTTTATAACTTTATTGTGATGTTTATGATTTATCACTTAATTGTGAAGTCTTTCAGGGTTTATTACTTTATTGCGAAGTCTTCCATGGGTAACCAGTTTATTATGTAATCATCCATGGTTTATTGCTTTATTGTGAAGTCTTCCATGGTTAACCAGTTTATTATGTAATCATCCATGGTTTATTGCTTTATTGCGAAGTCTTCCATGGTTAACCAGTTTATTATGTAATCATCTATGGTTTATTGCTTTATTGTGAATTCATCCATTGTTTACCACTTTATTGTGAAGTCATCCATTGTTTACCACTATATTGTGAAGTCATCCATGGGTTTTCACTTTATTGTGTAATCATTCATGTAAAATATTCAGGAACCAGGCTCAGATGAAGGAGAGAAAGTAGAGGAAGAAGAAAGCATCACAATATCTCAACCTGCTATCACTCATTCTAGCAATAATCAAAATCATAGTGTAAGCTCTATGTATCCTGTCCTTCCATCTGTCTGTGTGTGGTTGTGTACCAGTGCTTTATAATAACGTCACATGCTTGCTTCTTTTGTTTTTTGCTTTTGTTTAACCTGATTTTGCGCTCATGTTCACTTGCAACCAGATGTTGCTGAAATTATGTTGCCCGTTGAGGGGTTGTTTGGTATTTTATTTTTATTGCAAATTTTTAAAGCATATGAACATTATTTGCTAATGTCCTTTTTTTAATGCAAACAGATTCTGCTGAAACTTCTGTCTATTTTTTGGTTGTTCAGAATTTCTTTATTTCAGTTATTTTCAAAGCATAAGAAAATTATTTGCTAATGTCTTTCTTTGTTTTAGCTGGACTTTTATTTGAAAAAAATAATAGAAGTATTGTTACAGTCACTTTGGCCTTGCCGTTGCCATTGACGTCCGCACACTTGTACCTTAATCATAACTTTTTAAGCTCTTGGTGTATTGTCTTCATACTTGTACACAACAACCTTCTTTTCGTTTTTCCTTAATTTTGTTTTGAAAGATTTGTTTAAACCATTTATTTGTTTGCTTTTAGAAAAAGTAAAAAAGTGGAGCGTTCCCCCCGCCCGGCTGTGGCTCTTGTTTTATCTATGTTTTCGACCAACCTTTCTTGCAGGGAACTAGTTTAGTAAGCAAAATGATTATTCAGAAATATTGTACATCCAAGTGTGCAACAATTCCTTTTTTAGCTCACCTGTCACAAAGTGACAGGGTGAGCTTTTGTGATCGCTTTTCGTCCGGCGTCCGTCCGGCCGTCCGTCCGTCCGTAAACTTTTACTTCAAATGACATCTCCTCATAAACCACTAAGCCAATTTCATCCAAACTACACAGGAATGTTCCTTTGGTGGTCACCTTTAAAAATTGTTCAAAGAATTTAATTCCATGCAGAACTCTGGTTGCCATGGCAACCGAAAGAAAAAACTTTAAATATCTTCTTTTAAAGAACCCAAAGAGCTAGAGCTTAGATATTTGGCATGAAACATCTGCTAATGAGTGTCTACCAAGTTTTTTCAAATAAAAGCCCTAGGGTCAAAATTGGCCCCACCCCAGGGAGTCATTGATTTTCCCTATATGCATATAGTAAAAGCTTAAAAAATCTTCTTTTAAAGAACTCAAAGAGCTAGAGCTAAGATATTTAGCATGAAACATGTTCTAATGGGTGTCTACTAAGTTTGTTCAAATAAAAGCCCTGGGGTCAAAATTGGCCCTGCCCCGGGGGTCATTGATTTTCCTTATATGTGTATAGCAAAAACTTAAAAAACTTCTTTGAAAAAAACCCAAATAGCTAAAGTTTAGATATTAAGCATGAAACATCTTCTAGTTGGTGTCTACAAAGTTTGTTCAAATTAAAGCCCTGGGGTCAAAACTGGCCCCGCCCCGGGGGTCATTGATTTCCTTATATGTGTATAGCAAAAACTTAAAAAATCTTCTTTGAAAAAACCCAAATAGCTAGAGTTAGATATTAAGCATGAAACATCTTCTAATAAGTGTCTACAAAGTTTGTTCAAATAAAACCCCTTGGGTCAAAACTGGCCCCGCCTCAGGGGTGTCATTGTTTTTAACCATATGTGTATATAGTAAAAACTTAAAAAATCTTCTTTTAAAAACCCCAATGAGCTAATGAGCTAGAGCTTAGATGTTTAGCATGAAACATCTTCTTATGGGTGTCTACCAAGTTTGTTCAAATAAAAGCCCTTGGGTTAAAATTAACTCTGCGGGGGGGGGGGGGGGGAGAAGGTCATTGTTTTTCTTTATATGTGTATAGCAAAAACTTAACATCATGAAAAATCTTCTAATGTAAAATCTTCTACAGGTGAGCGACCTCAGGGCCATCATGGCCCTCTTGTTTAATTGTACACAGTTAATATTAGCTCAATTTATTGTTTAGACCATATTTCACATCTAAGCTTGGTTTCTAGTTCAAAAGTACTAGCTTAAAAAAACAAACAAACAAAAAACAACACAAAAACATAATTGCACCTACAAGTTTGTTTGTTTGTCTGTTTGTTATTGATGTTTTGAAGATAGTGTATAAACCCATGTACTTTGCAATATCTATATTTTGTATGTCCAATATTCATATTATATGCACCATTAGTGACCCATGTTCACATTTATAATACTTGGATTTACTAATGAAATCTATATTCTGGGTTAAATGTAATGTACTTATTAAAAGTAATATTTTCATAAAGAGATAGTTATGGTTTTAAAGGATGTTGTACATTTTGTTAGAACATATCAACTGCTGTGCTTCAGTACAATATCTTTTTATGCAATTCCTTGAGTTATGTTTTAATTTTGATATTAATATTCTATGTTATACTGCTGCTTTCCATTCTGCACTTAGTATTTACATCCTTGCAGTGAAACCAGATTTACCTTTGTTACAGTTTTTGTCACACAGTTATATTTGCACAGTATTTTATGTTTTAAATAAATGTTGCTTTAAAATTTGGTTCCATATTTCATACCTGAAAAGAATGCTTAAGTACATTTTATTATACTTAAGTGACATTCCTAATGATATTAAGTAAAGTAAACCAAATTTGAGCCATGTTTTAAAATTTGAGCCCTTACTGAGTTTATATTATTGAAAACCAAGATCAAAAATTTTCTTTTCTTAAAAAAAAATAAACAAGAAAAAAAACTTTTCTTTAGATAAACGTGTATGTAGATTAGATTCTTAATACATGTTTCACATGTAGACCAGTTATTAAATTAAAAAAATTAAAGGGCCTACATCATTTCATAGTGAAAATATCATTTAAATGCATCAAAAAGGACTTGATAACAGTACACAGAATTTTATTATATATTTTTGCTTTGGCAGAGAAAAATTTCAAGATTATTTTTCAGATATTGGATGAAAGGTCACCTTTTCTAAAACAATTTTGTTCTTTTATTATTATGCTGTATCTATCATCTTAGTTGAGCACTTATATAAAATAACTGGTCACTCTTGTTCTGTCATTGATGTACCCCTTTTCTCATAAGTCATGTTAAAATGTAGAAACTGGCCTGATTAAAGGCTTATGATTCCCAGGATAAATACTATGTCCTGTTCAGGAGATACCCTGTGAAGAACAGATGTAGAATAGTGACCTGATTCCCGGCTACAAGCCAAAGTCCTGAAGAACAATATAATGGACCTGCATTCCCGCCAAAATTGCCGTCTGCTGATAGGCAGTTGACCTCTGACCTTATAGCAGAAGATATAAGAAGAAGAGATCTTCTTCAAAACAAAGCCACTGAATGGTACTGAAATTTCTTGATTATTTATAGATCAACAAAACGCAATTGAAAATTACTTAATTTAATGGTAATTTATTATGGAGACAAAAAATATGAATTTTATTGCTTTCCTGAAATACAATGAATGAATATATCTTCTCAGTTACCAGAGATCTATTTTTTCTGTCAAATCCCTCACAAGGACTTAGATTTAATGAGATTTATATTTAAGAATCAATAAGAGGGTTTACTTGTGACAACAGTACATATACAAGAACAAATAGTATCAAATCATGGCTTCATGTAAATCATGAGTAGTCAATTTCTATATGAATGAAACTATTTTCCTTGATATTAGTTTACCTCTAGCCTGCATATGGCAAAAGATTCTTACCCATGTGACCAGTGCAGACCAGGATAAGTTGGTACCATCTGTTCATGCACTGGTCACTTTTCAGGCAGTATACTAGTAATGTATGAAATTTTCCCTAAAATGAATTAATGGTTTTGTCCGGAATGAAAGATGGACAAGTCCATTTAAGATATTTAGAGTGGTAAGTGTTAAGTGAGTTTTATATGCAATAAATTTCATAGAACTATGAAAATGTTTGTATATTATTAGTTATAAAGATTGTTGACAGGTTATATGGCCCTATATAAATGGCTGTTTGTAAATATAACCTGAGCCGCTAGGCGAGGGTTATCATTGCAAACAGTCGCTTATATATGGCCATATAACCTGTCAACAATCTTTATAACGAATTTATAATACAGCAAGCATCATTTGTAGAGGAATAAAGCGAGATTTCTTATTAAATCGGCAGCAGCCGTGTATATAAAACTTTATAATACTGCACGTTTGTAACGTCATTTTTCATTGGATAATCGTGACGTTTATATAGTTTTATATACACGGCTGCTGTCGATTCATGAAGAAATCTTACTTTTTTTTCTCTAAAAATGATGCTTGCTGTATTATAAATTCGTTATAAAGATTGTTGACAGGTTATATGGCCGTATATAAACGGCTATTTGCAATATAACCCTCGCCTAATGGCTCGGGTTATATTTACAAATAGCCGTTTATATAGGGCCATATAACCTGTCAACGATCTTTATAATTAAAAATATAAACGTCACGATTATCCAATGAAATATGACGTTACAAACGTGCAGTATTATAATACTTAATATAAACAATTTGCTTACTTATATGCTTGAAAAATGTTACTGATCTTGTATAAGAACCTGTTTTATAAAATCTAGGATAGAGCAAGAGTTGATGGCCAGGATTATTACTGAGGTTTACCCGCTCAGAGACATAGAGGAGCCTCATGACCTCAGCCATGTTGTGTCAGAGGCATCCGAGGACAGTATGGCAGAAGAGAAGGAAAAATCTATGTTTGGTAAGGCATTTACTTCATGTAGTTCCCATACTTATTTGTCAAATAATATTGTCCAACTAATTGTTGAAATATTGCGCAATTTCATGTATGGGCAATATCTCCCCTAGAAGGGAGATTCTGACCCTGAACAAAAATATTGTGCCAAATGTCAAAGGGGGAGAAGAATGTACAGCCTGACTGGGACTCAAACCAGGGACTCTCGGAATACTGTCCCACAGCTCTTCTTTTAGGCCGTATACACAGCTTCCTTAAATAGTGAACAGCTCTGAACTGTCACATACTGGTAAAGGAGATATTTGCTTGTTGGTAGAAATTGATAGAATCTATTACATTTTGTTATTTGCAGTTATGGACACTATTGGACATAGAGGGATGCAGCTATTTATAGATGCTGGTTATCCAGTAGATAACAGCCTGGTTAACAAGCTGGTAGAAGAGGTCTTGCAAGAGAAGGTGCGAACCATGCTTGGGCAGAGACCAGATGCTGAGGATCAAACCCAGGTCAGGGGACATCCTAAGGTCACTCAAGATGGTCCTGAATGGGAAGAACCCGTTTCAGAAGGAATAGAAGAAGTATGAGATTAGCTTAGTTTAAACGTCCTAAAAATAAAGATATTTTATTGTAATTTATTTTCAAATAATAAGATCAGTATGTTCTAACTACTTGGTTCTGTTATCATTTAAGTGATGTCTCTGTATGACCTTTACATAAATCTAAGTGACTAATATATTTTAGCTTGACTATTAGAGCTATTGTACTCACCCAGGCATCAGCATCACACTTTGGTTAAGTTTTTGTGTGCAAGTTGGTTTCTCAGAAACAACCAAACGAAATGGCTTGAAGCTTCACAAATTATTTGAACGCATAATAGGTTGTAACTATTCAAGGCCCATAACTATAACAGGGATTTTGACAGAATTATGCTTATTTTAAACTTAGAAAATTCTACATTATACAGGCTCTTGTTTTACTATCAAGCACTTAGAATAGTTTAGCACAATGTCCTACCGATAGCTGTTTTTAAAATTCAAGAATTACTCGGGTAACACATTCTGTAAGCTAAATTTTGTATAATTTCAGCCATCTGTGCACCAGGATTATATTTATACACCGGAACCAACCCCACGGGCAACTCCCATGTCATCTCCACCTAGACGGCATTCACCGGCCCCGACACCCATTGCCTCACCCCCTGTAACCCCAAGGATGGCACAGGAAGTGATTGAACCCGTAGAGCCACCAGTGCCAGTGGTCCAGCAACCTATCGTACAATATGTGGAACCAGAATCTGAGCCAGAAAGTTCCGCCTCCTATGATATAAAGGAGGAGTTAGATAGACTTGCTGGTAAAGACATCTTTATAAACCTTACCTGATAATTGTTCAATTTAGAGAATTTAAAGAGAACTTAAAGTAGATAACAATTCAAGAGCAACATAGGTTATACAAGAAAAACCTTGGTAATGCAAGAAAAACATTTATTGTAGGTAATGCAAGAACAACATTTTAAGGCAAAATAAAACAAAACACCATAGGTAATGCAAAAACATTTTCATGCACAAATACACAGGTAAAGTAAACAACAACATGATAAGTAAGGCAAAAACAACATAGTTAATGAAAAAATAACATTTAAATACAAAAAACAACATTGGTTATGTAAGAACAACATACTATAGGTGATGTGAAAAACAACATGGTTATATGCTTGATAAATAACAACACTTTATTCTTTCTTTTTCAGGAAAACTACAGCCAGATTTAAGCATTGGTGCCAGTATTCAGTCCAGACATGAAATAGCCACGCCACCGGAATCGCCCAAACCTGAACCAGAACCCATACTGCCAGCGCGGCCCCTAACACCTCCACAACTCTCCCCTAGATCTATACATGAGGAACCTTTCATGGTTTGTTCCTTTAATAATTATGTTGTTTCTAATTTAGTATACGCTCTTTTTAGCTCGACTATTCGATAAGAATAAGTAGAGCTATTGTAGTCACCCGAGCGTCGGCGTCTGCGTCGGCGTAACCACTTATGTTAAAGTTTTTGTAATAGTTTTAATATTTTCAAAGTCCATTGACATATGGCTTTGAAACTTTGCACACTTGTTCACCATCATTACCCCAACCTATAGACAGGAGGAGGTAACTGTATCAAGCATTTTGACAGAATTATGCCCCTTTTTCGACTTAGAATTTACGTTAAAGTTTTTGTAATAGTTCAAATATTTTCAAAGTCCATTGACATATGGCTTTGAAACTTTGCACACTTGTTCACCATCATTACCCCAACCTGTAAACAGGAGGAGGTAACTGTATCAAGCATTTTGACAGAATTATGCCCCTTTTTTCGACTTAGAATTTACGTTAAAGTTTTTGTAATAGTTCAAATATTTTCAAAGTCCATTGACATATGGCTTTGAAACTTTGCACACTTGTTCACCATCATTACCCCAACCTGTAAACAGGAGGAGGTAACTGTATCAAGCATTTTGACAGAATTATGCCCCTTTTTCGACTTAGAATTTACGTTAAAGTTTTTGTAATAGTTCAAATATTTTCAAAGTCCATTGACATATGGCTTTGAAACTTTGCACACTTGTTCACCATCATTACCCCAACCTGTAAACAGGAGGAGGTAACTGTATCAAGCATTTTGACAGAATTATGCCCCTTTTTCAACTTAGAATTTACGTTAAAGTTTTTGTAATAGTTCAGATATTTTCAAAGTCCATTGACATATGGCTTTGAAACTTTGCACACTTGTTCACCATCATTACCCCAACCTGTAAACAGGAGGAGGTATCTGTATCAAGCATTTTTTTTACTATCAAGCACTAAGAATAGTCGAGCGTTGCTGTCCTACCAACAGCTCTTGTTTATATAAAGAAAAGAAACTAAACAGCTCTTGTTGTATATGATTAAGAGTCTGCAACTTTGGATTACTAATCCAGGAGTCACTTGTTCAGTCCTCAGTGGCGGCCGGGCCAAGTGGTTAACATGTCCCACTAGTAATCTAAAGGATTGCTGGCCACGTGGGTTCAAACCCAGTCAGGGGCAAGTAGTTTCTTTGAGCAAGGAACTTTACACTCATTGCTTAGTACTGGTTGGTTCCAGGAACGGATTCAAAAGTGTTTCAATAAGCTTATAGCTTCCAACACAATCAAAATAAAATAAATTTGTATGAGCTAATCCTCAGTTGAGCGAAATTTCTCTGTGAAAATTATTCTTCGGATATTAAGTTTAATGGTGGTTTATTTGTATCTTACAGATATCACAGAATGTTGTGCCAGCTGGTGCCAGTATGGATCAAACTCCATCTAGAATCTCAAAGACTAAAACAGAGTCACCAAAGTCGGCCACATCACCCCAAGTTACAGAGTTGGCAGAGGAGGAGCTAGCTGAAGATCAGCCTAAAGCTGTGTATGTACTTTATGTGGTTCTATGTTTGAAAAGTTTTATCTGATTTTTTTTAAACATTATTTATGTAAGCTCAACTGTGAAGAAAACTTGAAGCTTTGAGTTTACTTCAGAAGATCAACCTGTGTGAGATTTTATGTTTGATTTTTCATATCTGATTGATACAGAAAGTACTTCAACTAAAGTGCCTTCTTGTGCATGAAATGAGGGGTACTGAGGGTTGTCTTTGATCTTAATTCAAACTCAAGCTTTCTGATGTTATGATGTTAATATCAAGATATTGAAGATGAATTATTGTTTAAAGGGTGTAAAGCTATATGTGATAAAATATTTAAAAGAAATTAAAAAAAAAAAAACAACAGTAAAACTGAGTTATTTTCATAACCATATTTTTGTATCCAAAAGACATTTAATAGAGAAATTTCTCTGTTATTTAACACACATGAACATTACATGTTTAGAGAATAAAATGTTCATGAACAAAATAGTTAGCTGTTATTTTAAGTAGAGTTTATGAATGATAAATGGCATGCGCCCTTCACTTTCAAGAAAAATATATTGACAAAGTTTTTCAATTCTATGTACAGTCAACTATCGTTATCTCGACATCGCTTTTCTCGATATTTCATTATCTCGATGAAATTTTGAAAGTCCCGATTTTCTTTCTTCTTTAGCTATATTGGAAATATTTGTTTATCTCGATATTTTTATTTCGATATTTTCAGTATCTCGATGTACGATTTCAGCCCCAACAGTCATTTTCACACTATTATCCTTTGTTTATCTCGAGTAATAGTTTTCTTTCGTCTGTTCCCTTCAGACGTGTGAAAAACACAAACTAGACGATAATAGCTCAATAGCGCGTGTCATCATGATGATTATGTTTGTAACATGTTTAGCTGTTTTTATAAAAGTTAATCTATTTAGGGTGTTGACTGACTTATTTCCAAAATGAGTGAATTTTACGTTCTTTATAAATATTCGAACACTGTATCAATTCATTATGACTTTAAATGTAAATGAAATAGTGAAAGTATAGAAACGCTATTGTTGCAATATTGTTTTCACAACATCACCACCAAATCAATCAGCGGTCGAACAACATCGAGAAAGACCTGATAAATAACCAGGAGGATATCCGGATCAACACCCTTAAAACAATGTTTTCACTATATTGGTGTATTACTGAGTAAACCTCACTATGTGTTTTTTATCACAGAAACCTGTATTTTCGCTGGTCAACATCCACTAATGTTACTTTGTTAAATATTGACTAGGCCTATGAAAACAAGACATGGGGATATATCATAGTTCATTTGACATACGGTATGCACATGTCTTTTGTAAAAATCAGTTTCTGTCTTATTCAAACCCTTATATGTTTATCTCGACATTTCGTTATCTCGATATTTTTTGGACGGTCCCGATGACTTCGAGATAACGAGAGTCGACTGTATATTGTAATCATTCTTATGACAATCCATAACTTTGTGATTCAAAGTACAGAATATATATAGCTTTATACACTTAAGATTTACATGTATGTTTTACATTTCAGTGTATTTACTGTTGCCGAGACTCAGACAGACAAGGTAGAGGAGCAGAAGCCCAGGACCCGGTCACCGTCGCCAGCCAAGCCGAAAAGCCGGTCACCATCTGAGTCTAGTTACACAGAATCATCATCTATATCAGATACTTTCAATGAATGTGTGTCAGAGGGCCAGTGGCTTATCAACAAGAGTGATGGTGAAGTGGCTGATTTCCCTATTGATGAAGGTTTGTTTTTATTGAATTTGAATGTATCCTATAACCTGCTATAGAACCTAAAGCAATCTGCATTTGCCGCCAGTATATAGTCTGACTGGCCTACACATCCGAGTTTACACTAACCTTTTGAATGTAGATAGCCTAAAGTGATATTATGCCCATATAAATGAAAATGGTAGGTGAACAGGCCAGTTTTCATGTTAGTCTCAAAAGTATTGCATCAGTTGTTCAATTTGGGAAATATATTTCATTCTTTTATTGATTGAAACAAAGAAATATCTGCCATTAACTGACTTTAACATAATACTGAAAAAATAACCCGTACCCATTTGTTTGTATTAATATAATAAACAATTTTTGTTTACATTTACTTTGGGTTACATTTTAAAAAATGAAGGGTTGAGTTAAGGTAAGGTGGTCGAGTGGTTAAGGTCATTGTCTTCAAATCACTTGCCCCTAAACGCTGTAGGTCGAATCCAGCCACAGCCTTTCATTTGAGTAAGCTATCCAGGTAGCTTACTGAATGTCTGAGGTGCCTGCTCGTGCCTGAAATAATGCATGGAAGAGCACCTGAGGTCTTCCTCCACCAGTAAGGCTGAAAAGTTGCCATACGATCTCTACTGTGTTGGTGTGACATAAACCCAACAGAAAAAAAATCAAAAAGAATTACTTGCATATTTCATAACTGTGCCAATTTGCAGAATAAAGAAATTGGTATACAAATAGTATTTTTGAACCAAGACCTGGAAAGCACTAAATTGTTTACAGTATTTATTGTAGTTGTTGTTGTTTTCATCAAGTCATGATAATGATATATATGATTACAGTTGCTGTAAGGGACAGAATGTTACGTATGTCACATAGAAGAGTTGATGTAAGCTCGGCTAGTACATGGAAAGATACTGATGATGTTGATTTGGTAAAATTATTTACTTTATACATTTTAAAGTTACAAAGTTTTATGTAACATTTTAAATTTTTCTGACTTTCTTTTGTATATTGATAACAATATCTTCTTTATCAAACATAACGTTTGAAATCATGTTTTGGTAAGTCTTCACATATTTTGGCATAATTGTGAAATACAGGCCGCATTATATAATCAAGATTACAAATTTGCAGTTATATATATTTGTATAAAGAGGGAGCATTAGATATGTAGTATTATTCATGTATATTTACAGGAAGAAGCGGACATGTCCCGTAGTGAGGGAGAGTTTCTGTACCGGACCGAATTTCCACCGGAGAAAGATCCGGTGTTAGACATGCTGGCACGGCTACAGAGTGCAGCCCCGCAATACGGAATGTATCAGATGTCAAACAAACAGGTATTATAATATGAATAATTATGTTAAAACTTGAACATTTTAGTATCCTTGATTGTGTGCTGTCTTCTCAATTTAAGAGTCCTTGATACTTGTTGATACTTGTTTTGTTGAATATTCATTCATACATGGATTATGTTAATGAAATTTTGAGTTTGAATAAAATAAATTGAAAATTTTCATAAAAATGAGTTGTTAATGAACTTAGTAAATTAGACAGTGAGTAGTGACAGATATTTGTGCCTTAGATTTCTGCCGATTTGAGTTTAAAGCAAGAAATTGTAAACCAAGGAGAAAATTATTAATATTTTTGTTGTATTATTAAGCTATGGGATTTATTACTTTGCTTTTAAGGTAAGACAAAAGAAAGAAAAAACTAAATTATAAAAAGAAGATAATATACTGTTTAGTGAATGTTTATAGTGAATGTTTTAGTATAAAACAAGTGTGTCATTTGTCATTTTATCAGGTGACAGATGTTCTTGGAGCAACAGGTAAAAGTGAGGGAGAGGTGATCCGAGTTGTTCCAGCCAGCGAGAGACAATACATACCTGAACGAGATGTATCGCAGCCGTCCCCAAAACGTAGCAAATCTCCACGAACTAGGTCACCACAAGGTGGCGCTTCATACAAGAGAGGTTCTTCACCAACAGGAGGGGCTTCTTACAAGAGAGGAGCATCTCCACCAGGAGGAGCCTCCTACCAGAGAAGTGCGTCTCCACCGGGACGTGGTGGACATTCTAAAAAACAGTCACAAGTTTTTAGGACACAGTCTCCCACCCGTGTATCATTTGAAGGTTTGCTAACATAACACACTGCACCTTATTTTCTTAATAATACAAATTTTCAAGGGGAAAAAAGGCATGCTACTTTTATAGTTGAAATCTGGAAATCGATATCATGTGCGTAAAATTTGGACTTTTGATAGTACTTATAACATTTTTATACTTTTCTCATAGATGTGCAGGGTCAAATTTTTCATTTTTCCCTTTTAAAATAGAAGTTTGCCTTATTTCCCTTGGTCATTGAAGGCTTGATGTGAAATGGTTTTAACTCCTTCTTTTTGTCATATGGGTTGCAACCACTTTACATCATGCCATCAAATACATGTATATTTCACCTTATACATGTTATACTGTGATGGTATATCAAAAGAATAGTTTAATGTCACTTATAAAAGTACATTTTATATCACAGACACCTATATTGTTTTGTTCTATCACTGAAATTTTACAATGCTTATGATTATTAATAATATGAGAAATCTCAATTTTAAGTATTTTAGATTTTGAAGACATATTCAAGCTAAATGATTAAAAAATTGCTAAAAAAAAGTAAATGAAGTACATTCCTTGAATTTTAAGTGCTTACAGAGTCTCTTGCACATCTATATTGAAAGCAATCTAGTTCAAGGGAATATTCTTTTCACAATTTAATTTATCTTATATGTCCAACAAAGATGATTTAAATGAAGAATTTGAAAGTTACATTAAAAAATTGATGATAAATAAGCAGGGGAAGACTTTTTTCATAAACATAAGGCATCTTTAACAATTAACATGACGGTTGAGTCTGACCCTATTCCAGGGGTAGCTTGTTTGGTCCTCAGTCGAGACAAAATCTCTTCCTGACACTATATCTCTCAATGGTGATTCAGAAATCATATGAAATAAGTAGTCTCTAACTTGAGAAATTAGTTATTATCGGTTAGTTATCAAGGAAAGCCAGGTTGGTGGACTGACCGCCGCAATATGATCTTAAGATGTGACAAAAAAATGTTAAATTAGCATTAAAAACAAACAAACATGAGGATTACTGTACATATACATGTGGACTTCTGAGAGTACAGATACGGTCACCACTTACTGCATTACAAGCCATATACATGGATTTCTCTTGTTCTTATTTTGGAAACATAGGCAACCAATGCAAATACAGGAATATAGAAGGTTTTTTTTTTAATCTTTTTTTTCTTAGGGGACTTTAATGACCAGCAGAGATCTGTAAGTCCCACCAGAGGCATTCTGAAACGCAGCTCCTCATTTGATAATAATTATCAAGGTCAACCAATGAGAAGAGAGGATACTGATGTTCCAGTGAGGGATTCTGGGAGGTCACACACACCAACAGGAAGGTTAACACAAGGTGGCAGGCAACCACAAGGCAGAGGCATGATTGGTGCAGGAGCAAGAACAGCATCTCCAGGAGGTCAGTGTCTCTATTCCATCTAACACAATTTGCTCAATATATCCATCCATAGTTCTGGAAGATATGACAAAAGTTCCTTATTGTCACTAGTACTAAACTACATGCTTTAAGTATTTCCTTAGTGAACATGTGGTATTTTGCTTATTACAGGAAAATCATCAATGCGTAGGCCTCCACAAGTGATTAAATCATCTACTATGCCAGAAACAAGGAGTTCTGGTGCCCGGCTGGTTAATGCGAGAACAAGTTCTGAGGACTACAGGGACTCCTTTGATAACACAGGAGGTAGGCAATTTATATGTATTTTTCTAAATATTACACATATTTTACATGTTGTGGGTTAAAATAGAAAATAAATAATGTTTATATTGAAGTCCTTTCTAGATTGACTTTCATTTGAATTGCATAGTCATGATGACATCAAGCTTAAAGATATAATTGGGTGCAAAGAAAAATATATCTTAGTGCAAAATTTGTTGATATTGAGTAACCTGTTACAAAGCAAAGATGAGGAAGCGGTGGCCTAGTGGTTAAAGTGTCTACGTCTCAACCCAGGAATCATAGGTTCGAGCTCTACTCAGGTCATGATCATGATTCCTCATATGGCACCAGTACTGGTTTGTTCGAAAGTTATTAATATAAGTTGCAAGAACTTGTTTTGTTGCAATCAAGCTAAAATAAATATGTTTAAACTAAAGCAAAGGTGAATAAACTATTGAACAATGATATAAATAAAAATATACATGTATTATGTTGTATATACATGTATAAAATAATAATTATTGACACATTGAAATTGAACTCAAGTCACTGAACTGAAATCTGTATAGGAATGATTATAGAAATAAAATTTTTTTTTATTTTTTCCTCCAGGTCAGAGTTACTATGGAAGTGACTATGGCACCAGAAATATGACACCAGACCAGATGAATGTGGATGCTCTCATCCAATCAGGATACTTGTCTCAAAGTTTCAGCCAATCAGAGAATGGTGGCAGGCAAACCGGCCAATCATCTTTGAAAAGTTCTGGTGATGTGCGTCTCAGTCGAGCATCAGCTAGCGGTCGGTCGCTCGGTTATTCTTACGGTACAGAGGGGTCCATCAGCATGTCGGAGCTTCAAAGGTTGGCAACAGACGGTACAGGAAAGTTGCAGATGTCACTAACTATACCAGGGACCGACCTGGAAGAGAGCGACCTGTCTGAGATAGATATAACTGATGGAGGAAATAGAAGATAGACTTTAAATTAACAATGATCATAATTTGAGATTGTAGAGTAATCTCATTCTTAGCTGTCTTCGGTTGATTTTTAGGTTATATCTAAATTTATTTACTTTTGCTATATTAATTATGATGAAAAACTTGACTTTTTCAAAATAATGTTGCCTTGAATTACAAAAAAACTTTGTCAATATATTTTCTTGAAAATGAGTGGCACATGCCAGTAATCATCCCTTAACCCTACTTAAAATTACATCTGACTGACTACTTTGAAAATATGGTTGTGATATGACTAGGTTACAAATCCATGATCCCTTGATTTAGGACTCTACACCTTAGTCGCATTAGCCATTACTGCCTTGAACATAATTACGTATTATAATGACAGTATTTTGACTGGTCTATTATTTTTGCTTTTATAGTGTGGAACAGCAGGATTAATATTAAAATTTCATAAATATCTCCTCAGATTTATATTATTTCAAATGATGTAAACTTCATGTAGATTTTAAAACTTTAGTTAAGTCCTATTAAATACATATTGTACAGGCAGAAAAGAGAATGTAAAAAGAAGAAAATATATAATTAGTAAGTGATATTATAGGAATAGGAAATAGAAAAGATGTGACGGAGTACTATTAAAAATGATCACATATGTAAAATTGCAACTTTGTACTATACCATGTCTAATTGTAAACACATATGTAATGTACTGTTAGTGCTCCAGTTTCAGCACAGGAAATTCCAATTAATTCAATGTCATATTCCTAGAAAATCGGCAATTCATAAGAAAATAAGCTGCGAACAGATTGTTGGACACACTTTGCATTATATTATCAACAAAAAATTCAAGTGTCAGAAATATTTGAGTGAAAACAGCATTGAAGAAACCGGAAGTGGTCCTGTACTGATACTGGTTACTTTACTGTACTATATATACTGTATGCTATATTGTTAAATTGTATACTTCTCATAAATCTAACCGTCCAGTCAGGAGAGCCTTTTTGTATTTTTATAACAGTTGGCAGCATTTTACTTGCCGAACCTGCCATGATTGTGAAAGAATCTTATTTAGTTTAATTTTCTTTGTGCTATTTGTTACACTCTGATGATTTAGTATTAAAGCAGCATGCTTCCAGATTCATGATAATTTTAAAAAGTTGTGCAAAATACTAAAACTTTTGTCAAATTGAACAAAAAAAAAAAATGATTTAAGATAGTGGAGAGCACTTACAGTAAATATATATTTTACTGTGTATAATTATACAAAAATAGCGCAAACTCTCTGAAATACGTGTAGGGCGTTAAATTCTTGCATATCTTACACACACACACAAAACAACATTCAAAACATAACTTTGATTTTTAAAAATCATACATTTTGGATGTTTTTCTTTGGAATGATTTTTTAAGGAGTGATTTGTTTACACATCTGGAGGCATGTAGCTTTTATATTTGAACATTTGTATGGAAAAAAAAAAGTGTACTGCCATTAAGATTTTTTTTATATATTGTATCTTTTTTAATATTTATCTTCTGTATAAATGGAGATGCTGAAGTCTGCATTGCAGTGAATTTACAGTGTGTAATTTTTATGTTTACATATTTTGTTTGACACGCTTATCTAAGGGACCAATGATTGGTAGGTAAATGACCCTTTAAAATTTAGTGGTTTTATACCCTACTTTAATGATCTGTATTGAACTAATTATGTTATAAGTTGTATTATGTCAACATGTTTATGATTGCAGGATTAACTAAACAAATATTTACATTATATTTGTATGTGTGGTATGTTCTCTTGAATATTATGTAATTGAATAACCCCCTGGTTATGTACATGTAAGTGATGTAAAGAAAACTGTCATTTCTATTTTAATTTCAGTTTGGCCCGAAGCTTGTGTGGCTTGAAACTGGAGCTTAAGTTAACGTCTTATCTTAAGTCCCAGCTTGAATGCAGAATACAAAAGAAGAATTGTAATTTTTAGAAAAAAACACATTTGAGCCGCGTCATGACAAAACCAACATAATGGGTTTGAGACCAGCAAGGATCCAGACCAGCCTGCGCATTCGCGCAGTCTGATCAGGATCCATGCTGTTCACTATCGGTTTCTCTACTTGTTATAGAGTTTGTAAGCGAACAGCATGGATCCTGATCAGACTGCACGGATGCGCAGGCTGGTCTGGATCCATGCTGGTCGCAAACCCATTATGTTGGTTTTGTCGTGGCGCAGCTCATTTGCCTTTACCATCAGTATATAGAGCCAAGCCAAACAGTCTGACCAGGCTCTATACTGTTTTCTGACTAACTTTTCATCTTTGTATGCCCAAAATTTATAATGGACATAAATATATTTTGTACAGGAAATTGCCAGGCAGATTCATATTAAAATACAAATGCTTGGTATGTAAAAAGATCAACAATAGAGAGTGCCTTAAAGAAAAAAAAAAGCAGCCTTAATCCATTTAAGGCAAACAGAAACCGAGCTTAAAAAAATAATAATTAAACTGTTAACTATAGTACTAGTTAATGAAACTGCTATTTTTGCACATTTTATTTATATAGCATTGCATTAGGTAAAATTTTAGTGAATCGATGGTTCACTGCAAAACAGCTGTAAGTCATATTACATAATGAAGGAGTTAGTCTGTTTTGCACTAATCCGTAGATATTATCTCTTGAATGGTATGCTAAGTGTTTGAGTCTCTGGTTTTTTATTCTAAATGTAGCTTTATATGCCTTAATAGACTGTGATACCATATATGTAATAATGTACTCTTTGGCCAGATTATTGTACAAGTAAAGAATGATCACTTTATTTATGTTATATTTATTTACTGTTAGTGTGAGATTTATAGGTGAAAATTATTTTTTATAAATGTAGAATGGAATAGAAATAAAATAGGAAAGAAAATAAGTTAGTGTTAGTATTTTGTTGTTCTTGAAGTCCTGAAGTTGTATAGCATTGAGGCTTTGCTCAATGTGGTTGTATAAAAAATATGTTACTGGACAGTATATTGTTTGATCTACGTAAGTTGTAATCAAGGTGTAAACATCTTAACTTTCAAAACATATTTGTCAAGATTTCTTAATTAACAAACTTTACACTATAGACTCTGAACTGTTTTAATTATGTGCCAATGGATTATTGGTAAGACTTGACTAAATGGGTTTGAAAAACTGGTGTCTAATAGCTCCAGGAGGTGAGGTTTTGACCCCTGGTTTGCTTTGAAGTAAATAACACCCAAGGTTTAGCAAAAATTATCTTTCCTGGTTATTGCCATATGACCAATACCATGTGCTGTAAAACCAAACAAACAAAAAACTGTAAAGCCTGGACTGGAACGTCGGTGGTTCTACTCAGGTGCCCGTTGGTTCCTGAAATAATGCACAAAAGGGCACCTGTAAAGCTGGAACGTCGCCAAATGACCTAAACTGTGTCGGTGTGACGTAAAACCCAAACAAACAAAACCCTGGACTATTGATAAAACAATGGTTGGCCTTTAATTGACAATCAGTATGTGCCCTAAAGTTATGGTCCTATTGATAAAAATGGGCCCTGGTTTATTGATGAATATTGGCCCTGGTTTATTGATGAATATTGGCCCTGGTTTATTGATGAATATTGGCCCTGGTTTATTGATAAATATGGGGCCTGATCTGTTGATAAATAAGGGCCCTGATTTATTGAATTGGGCACTAGTCTATTGATGAATATGAATGAACCAAGTATATGGGCTGTTGACTGTTAATGAATGTTAGGCCCTGGCCTGTACATAAACTCATGCTGTTGTCTGTTGAATTATATTGGCTATAACATTGAATTATATGGGAGCTTTTGTCTATTGATAAAAGACTAAGGACCTCTTCTTAAAATATATTTGATCTGTCACCACTTTCATTACAAACAAAACAACTGAATGGTCTTTTTTGAGATTTATTTCAAATGTCAATTCATAATAAATGTATACATAGACTTTTTGAAAAAAAAAAGAGCAAATATCATGTTCATCAATATTGTTAACTATATTTATCACATATTTCATTCAACAAATTTTCAAATTTTACTAATGTCAGTAATATGACGGGTACAGAATATGAGCAATCTCTAGGTTTTAGTCTACATATAATTCATACATAAGGCATCAAGCTTAATAATGGAAATCTACATGTACGGTACTTTAATAAACATGTACATTTGTAATATCATTACAACTGGAAGAAGATTAAAATGTGTCCAAGAGCTCCATCATATTACATAATGATTATATTTCAACTGTGTACCACACTCGGCAAAAATTACAAAACAACCCTTAAAATATCACTTGAGAAATTGGGAGAAAACGAAACACAACTCAAGTAATGTCATTTTTATAAACACAAAAATCACCCGTCTTTTCAATCATAGAGTAAGATTGTCAAAATATCTACAAGGACCATATCAGTAACAAGGTGCCTGCTCACAAAGGGGGCATCTGAGGTCTTCCTCCACCACTAAGGCTGGAAAGAAGCCAAATGGCCTTCATTCTTCGTTTTAATGAAAATCAAACCCAAAATAAGGAAATAGGTACACATGTACATTGTATATGTAAAAGAAAATCTGTAATAATTTGGTAAAATATTGACAAAAATAATTTCAGTAATATCATATACCCTGGTTTCGACACTTTTTTATATTCTTTATCAATAGAACATGTATTAACTATCATATACTGGTAAAAAAGTTAAACAGCAGAAAAAAAATATTGCACTTTTTGTAAGTATTCTTGCATAGTACATTATACTGAATTTAAGAAAATATTTAATAAGAAAAGAAGCACGGTATAAGAAATACATGTACATACTGTAATGGAAAACAAGAATTTGTTACTCATATCTGTATACATTCTAAAACAGTTTTAATACTTTGAAAAAAATATGTTGTTTTTTTTTCAATGCACTTTAATCTCTTTATAAACTTGGTGCTATTCAGGAAACATTCTTCATAAATTAAGAAAACATCAAGTTTCAAAGCTAGACATAGTTTTAAGAAAATGGACAAAGATAAGAATCTCATTATCAATCAAAATACCAAAATTCTGAATAATTATTCACAGTTAAAGCTGTATGCCTCCAGATGAGCTGAAGTATTTCAAAAATTCAACATTGAGAAAAATTTACTAAGCTTTTTAGAAAAGTAAGAATATTCACAATTCAAAAAATTATTTACATGTTCACTGAGGTTGCAGAATTTCTCACCATATTTCTGCTGTGTTACTACCCCAATGAGGGACTACTTTTGCATATTTCTGACCTATTTCTGGTAATTTGCTTATATTTCAAGTGTCATTTGCAATATGCAAATTACTTTCTGTGGTTACATGACAATATTTACCTTTTAACACATATTAAAAATAGTCATTAAAAATTAGCATGAATCTAGAGGCATGCTGCTTTAAAGATGGAAAATTTAGTTGATTTCTGGAGCCTTTTTCTTTTGGCTTATATAGCATATACATTATAAATTACATAAATCAAAGTGAAACAATATAAATGTACATATAAAGTATTCTTATACATTACAACAAGGGCACTTAAATTTGCATAACGCCAAGCAAATGATAAATTAACATTTTGAATAATACACATTACATACACATACAAAACAAATTACAATAATGAAATGGCATGACAATGAATTCTTCTGGTAAAATAAATTATCTGGCATATTTCATACATATATATAATCTCATATTCGCAAAAAAATATAGACATTTCTATAATATCTTTCTGAATAAATGCAAAACAACCTTCTTTTTCCCTCAATTTATCATTTTTACGTAAAACATTCAAGAATTTATACAAATTTCTCAGTTAAATAAAATATCACAAAAAAAGTAATGGAAATAAAAAGAACAAAAACTGGATTTTCTACTGATTGCCCCAACCTAAAATAATATCAATGAGAATGATTTAGCTCCCTTGTGAGAATTATTGTAATTACCTCCCTTGTTAGAGGTGTTCTCATACAGAGAAAAGTAATTATGATCATGTGGTCTTAAATTCTCATGATAACAAAAAAGTAGTTTTGCATACCTTTTTATATACTATTCTAATCTCTGCGTGGAATATAAGCAAAGCTAAGAAATATAAATATAATATTGACATGGAATTAAGGTTTCATGATATTTTTAGTCTAGCTACAATTCCTGCATGAAATTTACATGTTTCATATTACCTTTTAAACCTAGATAAAAATATCATAATTTCTGCATGGAATTCACATGTTTTATTTTATCTGCAGCCTAGCTACAACTTCTGGAATTTACATGTTCCATAATATATCGAGCCTAGCCTAGCTAAAAATAACATTTACAATTTATGCAACTGAATTTACATATTTAATGATATACATATATTCTACCAAGCCAATTACGATAAAAAAACGTTTTGGTGGGTATAACATGTATGTCATGAAAATAAGTAACAAAATGTGATACAACTATATTGTATTCAAACAAAATCATACAAATGCCCTAATGGTACACCCACATTAATTAATATAGAAACATTCACAAAATAGCACAACAAAATGTCTCAGATCACAGTTTCTTGTAACGTTTTTGGTGAAAATAATGTTCCAAAATCCACAAATGTAACATATTTGTATAGAAGTACTGTCTCTAAATGTCAGTCTAGCTGATGTTAAAAAAGGCACTAAATGTTGACCTCTGCTTGACCTTTTACTGCTTCAAAATTATGGAATAATTTCATCAAATTTATCATAAGTTTTAAACTGGCCACTTCCATTTACTGCCTGACTGTCTATATGAGCTCTATACAATATTTTACAATGTTACTATAAATAGATTGACACGATTAACCAAACATTTCCTGGGAAGCATATGTCATATAGAGGAAGCCGTCCTCGTCTTTGTCGTCCCGGTAAACCTCTGCGAGTGACATGGACATACTTGATATACTCTTGTTGTTTATAATCAAGTAGAAGGCCTGGTTCTCATTCAATGACATTCTTAGTCTGAAATATACAAAATTTGAAATAATGACATTCAGATTCAGAGATATACAAATTTGAAATAATGACATTCAGATTCTGAGAAACACAATTTGAAATAATGACATTCAGATTACAAGATATACAATTTGAAATAATGACATTCAGATTCCGAGATATACAATTTGAAATACAACAATGTATAAATTTTCAGTTCTGGATAACAAATTGAAAATGACATTTTAGGGTTCAAATTTTTAATGACCCCTTTTTTTAATTTGTTTAAAGTTTTTACTTTTTAAAGGGTTTTTATTTGTAAAAACAGAAAAATTTTTTTTTTTTACAAAAAAAAATTTTTCAGTTTTTTTCTTTCTTCACATGAAACCTCATTTGAACTCACTAAATTTCATTTTCATGTAGAGACTATAAAAAAGATAAAATGATAATCAAAAGATAGTTATTTTTGTCAATGTCACAATATAAAACATTTTCGTTAAAAAAGTTTTAGAATCAGACCATGTTTTTCACTTTTAAAAAGAAATGTAAAAAAAAATTTTTGGAGGTCTGAAAAAAGGCAGACATTAGGGCATGGTTTTTTCCAGGAAGTGATGAATGGCCCCCCCCCCCAACAAAAACATTTAAAAAGAAAACTGTAGTATTCAAAAAGTCGGAGCCATGTCGGAAAAAAATGTTTTCAAGGCACTGAATGCCTGTTTCTTTAAGTACTTATGGAAATCTATTGGTTGAACCACTTGTCTCATTATAGAAATCTGACTGGAAGAGTGAATTCTGAAATTGACCAATGGTAATCATAGAGCCAGCTGTTTTTATCTCTTATATTGCCATATTAGCAGTAAATATGCTGGATAAAAATTGGCATCATCCATTTATAGCAATTACTTAGGAAAAATATGCTGGATAAAAATTGGCATCATCCATTTATAGCAATTATTTAGGATAAATATGCTGGATAAAAATTGGCATCATCCATTTATAGCAATTATTTAGGATAAATATGCTGGATAAAAATTGGCATCATCCATTTATAGCAATTATTTAGGATAAATATGCTGGATAAAAATTGGCATCATCCATTTATAGCAATTACTTAGGAAAAATAGAAATCAATTTTGAGTGCATTGTTGTAGAATAATGCAGGGTTCCAGCTATAATGCGTAGGAATATAATCATAAAGGCTGATATTTTCCTAACACCTTTTGGTTGATTGATGTCATATCTGACATCATATGACGAGTGACGTGTAAGCATTCCTTTTTTATGCTGTGCATATATTGTGTAATAATGCACTTGATTTCCCTATCTGTTTGATAGAAGAATTGTGTGAAGCAGATTATTATAACATTAATCATTCTGTAATTCAGATCACAAAAATATATCACAGAATTCTGACACAGTGAAGACATTATGTACCTTATGATAGTAGCAAACTGTGACATTGTGAGCTCCTCTGGTACCAGAAATTTTGTCTTGTCTAATATAGGTAAACTCTGTTCCTTGTAATATCTTTCCACTATTACCTGAAATAAAAAAATTTCATTCTTTGAATATATTTACATTAAATCTAGCTCTTTAAAGTGAATTGGTCTTTAATGGATGGTCAGTGATACCAAAAATAATTAAACTGATAGTATTTAATATTATTCATGACCACAATATTTAATATCATACATGACCACAAACCATTCAGGTGACCCTCTGTACATTATTTCAGACAACAGGGGACACCTTTGTAGAACCATCAATGTTCCGTAAGCAAGTTGGATAGCTTCCTCACATGAAAAAATCCAAAGTCCCTCGCGGGATTAGAACCTACAGTATTGAGGGCCAAGTAGTGTAAAGTCACTTGACCATAAGAATCTTAAGGACAAAATTATACACCTTGAAACTTATATCTGTAATCAAATAAGAATTGATATACATGTATACATTTATTATTGTTATCTAAGGAAAATCAGTTGTTTCCCTGAAAATCTTTAATCACACCTCTTCCGTTACATCATCATACAGTTCGTCTTAATGAAAAGTTGAAAGGTCACAAACTATTTTTATTACACTTTATCTATTGCCATTAACAAATGCCACAGCATGTTTGTAGCATTAAATACGTCAATTTACATTGATTTTCATTAAAACATTCATCGTAGCAACAAGTACAGATTTATTATTGTTTCCCGGTCACATGACTAGTTTGATATTTCTGAAAATTCTATCTGACGTAACCTTATTGTAACATCTGGACGTTCTATCGGTAAAAATCTCTCGAGAATTATACGGAAATCTGGCGAAAAATCCAATAGCTGTTCTATCACATGACAATGAAAACTATTTCCGCAGTAATAAGATAATAGGAAGTTGTCATTGCAATCATGGGACATAAAATGATGTCAAAGAAATTACTGAAAAATGTGAAAAATGATCATAATGGCTTTTGTTTCTTGCTGAACAATTTGTCAGTCACAATGTTTGTTTTTAACATTTGAAACAATGAAGACCAAAATTTCCCTTCTTAGAATAGTAAGTAAATTAAGCCTATTGTACATTGAAGTCTGTGGTATATTAGAGTAAACATCTAAAATAAGCAGTTTACCATACAATTTTGTTCTGCTAAATGTCATTCTGACGCAATTAAGCTCGGATTACGGTACATAATTCATATAACACTTTCTTAATTTCAGACAGTATACTAGAATATATATATATGTTACTAAAGCTGCTTTGGGTGACATTATGAGTTACTTTCATATAATGCTTTCTTTACTTCAATACAATGAATGAACGCTTGTTACCATCTGTAACACTATGTACCTTAGAACTGAAAAATAATCTAACAAGAAAGACACTGTGTCATACAGGACTTGAACCAAATACACTGGCAGACATGCCATTTAACCATCAGCCTGCTAGTGGCAAATGAATCTATCCATATAACCAGTGTAGATCATGTACAGCCGGCATATCTTTACTGACTGATCATGGTCTGCACTGTTTGCTGTTCTGTCAGTCAGTACATATTTTGAAATTGTCCTTAAAAATGATTAATTGTCTTGCCCAGATTGATATATGGACTAGTTCATTTCAGACATTTAACAGGGTAAGTCAGTAAACCACTATGCCAATGCAGAACAATACTGAAATCTGTCATACAGCATATGATATTGACAAAGCATAATAAATTGTTTTCCCCATTAGGAAATGCATCCTTCCGCAAAACAGATCAATACATGAAATAACTCTACCTATATATGGTACACTATCAACAAAATGAATTGCTGAAGGCATTAAATCTTATTTTATTGCGTTGCTAGAAAACAGGATAGGAATTCAATATAAACTTTGCATAAAACTCTTGTATTACCAATTTACCTGAATATTTTGTTATTTCTATAAATTAAGTTGTTTTTTTCTTCAAATTATTAAAATCAGACATACGTGCTTGCGTGGTTAAGTTGTAAACTGCTAAGCCCAAGTACACTAATCTTGTACAAATAATAATTGAATATGTACATTTGTATCATAATATGGGTCACAGGTATATTTTATAGTGTGTTTCCTCCTATAACAGCTGGTCCAGATTTCACTATAACGTTCTCAAAGTCAATCTGAGATTTTTCTCTGTTTGGCTTTCACTAAACATTTATGAAAATCTCAACCTACTCTCTAACTACTTAGATTTTTCACAGATATACTGAGACAAGGGTTTGGCCGTCTCAGATTATGTCTCAGTGAAGCTTAATGTTTATTTTCAGGGGTATTTTTACTTTATGTTTGGCTATTGTAATAAATAGACAGACTTTAGCTTTTTGGGAAAAAAAAGAGAAGAGAAACATTGCTGTGCTCAGTGTTGTCATTAAATCTTTTCCAGAACAGTTTGGTTCGAGTTTGAGGCAGTCATTTTTGGTTATATCACATAGTTACAATGTCAAGACTTTTTTCAAAGTTTTGAGGCAGCCCAAAATGCATTGGAGGCAGTCAGTTTGGCCTCCTGTCACCTCTTAATGACAACCCTGGGTACTCATGCACAATAAGATTGAGGAGTTGATATATGTTAAAATGAAACCACTCAAATATATCAGTACCACCCAGAAAGGAATGAAGAAGGAATCCCAAAAAGTAGCCACTTAACCCATAATTATCAATTAACAGGGGATTTATGGTAAAAATGAAACCCCTTCATATATAATAGTTACTGTAGAACTTTAACTTAGATTTAATAGTACAACTAATTAATGGTTGTCTTATAGAAAAGCATTGTATATTAAAAACACAATGTTAACCTAATAATCAGATGTGTCAATAAACTAAGCTTATGTCATTTTTAATCAAATCTATTCAACTGTGAATTCCCTCCAGGGTAAATGTCCTTTAAAATATCTACCAATGATATCCTAATATGTACATGTATGACATAACAAAACAACCTAGAGAGTAAATATAATTTTGCTATTATAAAATTCTATGTTTAAAGTACAATAACACTAGTAAACAAAGCTGTAGGTTCAATGTACTAAGTTACTTTGTTAAATGATTTTTTCAAAATGTTTTACTATTTCAAAATTAAAGTTTACCAGCTCTATACCATTCTATACATGTAGCCAACATGTCAGTGTTAGTCACTGACATATGACAAGCACAGTGTTTAACTTCTTTTCAATTCCAATAATGCACTTGTTATTATCCTCTTTAACAATAAGAATCACTAGCAAAAAAAAATTTAAAATTTTCAATTTTCCCTTTGTACAATTCCTCATGTAGATCTACTTTAAAAGCTTTTTTCTTGAGTTTCTAAAATAAAATGTTGACAATAAGTTTAAACATATTTTCTTGAGTTTCTAAAATTAAAATGTTGATAATAAATTTAAACATATTTCTTGAGTTTCTAAAATAAAATGTTGACGATAAAAATTTAAACATATTTTCTTAAATTTCTAAAATAAAATGTATAGATCAGGTCAAACTGGAATTGTAACTATGTATAATAAACCATGGCATGCATTGATATTTATCCAACAGGCAAAAATTGCAACATCTTAAACCAATCCATACATATGACTTTTACATATTTTATTTAAAGCAGCATGGCCCCAGATTCATGCTTAGTACTTAATTTCATGAAAATTTTGAAAATCTATTCAAAAGTTAAATATTGTGAAGAGAACAAAGAAAATAATTTACGCATTGCAAATTATCAAAAAGATGTGAAAATAAGCACAAATAGCCCTTACTGTGTTTATATTTAAGTCAAAAAAGTAGAAATATGGTGATGAAGCCTGCTAAATCAGTCATTAAAGCACACATAGCATGTAAAATATTACATTAATCTTGACTCTTTTTACTTTTCTTAAAATCTTAGTATAATTTCTCAAGTTTGATATTTCCTTGAAATACAGCTAATCCGGAGGCATGCAGTTTTAACTAAAAACTGGAAACACAGGAGAAATATGAGTCACTAGTGTCCCAGTAACAAGACACATTGTCTAGTGTTTTCTTGTCTGTCAGTGGCCAATTTAAAGTACAGATCAACAAGTTCAAGTTCAGTGTCAAGTAATGAGTGTGGTGGCGTCATACATGACACATTTTCTATCATGATCACAAATTTTTATATGTGACCTAAATTATAGACAGGACAGACGACCAAACTTCACAACTCGGGGTATCAAAGTATCAAGGCAAATTTCAAAATGAAAAACAATCGTCATATAGATAGTGCTATCTTTACTATTAACAAATCAATGGGTCTATATGAGATTATGAGATGTAATCAGTGTTTATGAGGATAAATTACTGTTTAAGTGTCTGATTCACAAGATAATAAGAATTTCGTAAGTGAAAATTAATAAAGTACATGTGTACAACCAACCAAGTTAACTTTTCTTGTCTAAGACAAGTCTCAGTAAGTTATGTGTTGATTTTCTTAAAAAAGAATTTTTTAAGAATCTTCAAATAAAACAGTCAAAAAAGGCAGTATTTAAAATGGTATAAAAACTTAATAAAAAAATTATTTTGATATAGTCTGTTCAATAAGAACAAACTAATTATCTTATATATTAAATTACAAAAAAAATGTTTAATTTTTTTCTTCTATACCATTAACTGACACCAGATCTCTCTTTATATATTAAAACTACCTCTACCATACACAATATATTAACATGAAAAACCTGATATACATTTATTCAGCAATCTAATAATATTCTAATTTAACAATTCACAGAATGGAAAAATAACTTACAGGTACTTTATTTGGAAACTTTGCTCGTATTCCTGCAACTTCTTCCTTTCTTGTTGCTGAAATAAAGCAAATAGTACATACAATTTTAAAATTCAACAATAACTTTTTATAGTTACCTGAAGAAAAAAACAACATGATTTTAATTCTGGAAGCTACATTACGTAGGAACAGATAGCACCTAAAGACTAATTTGACTGCATTAAATAAAACACACTTAATTACAAATAAAACATAATAGTCACTTAGTAGTGATGTTTCCTAGATTGTTAGGATGAATTCAGTCAATTTTTGCTGAGAAATTTTCCAACAAACATTACAGATAATTGAAAAGGCATCAATACACTGGGCCAGAAGTCTGATATAAATCAATAAAACAGAACATCCTTCAGATAAGCCTTAAGCTCCATTTGGTAGAGTCTGGTACAAATTCTACATTTCTTTGTGGCTTACTGCTTACACCACCAGTCCACCATCAGATATTTCTTTACTTCTTAAGTTGAACTTATCAAACAAGCACATTATCTCTCAATTTTTTTTTTTAATTTTCTTGGAATAAATGAAGATTAGTATAAAGTTTACATGAAATCTAATGAGTAGTAACACCAGTATTTAAAAACAGAAGTCAAAAAAAGAGATAATTTTATGCATATATTTAGTGACCAGTCAACACGTCAATCACAAAGAATTTAGTACCTCAAAATCTTCTTAATTGGTCAAACATTAGAATCTGGCAGATAGATTATATTCACTTCTGTAAATTGCAATAACAATCAAGTTTCATGATACACTTATATATTACCTGAATGTATAAATAAGTTATCAATGTTTGTCACATGACATTGATTTGTCCATAAAAAAACATATCCTGAATTATTCAATATATACATTTAGCACTATCTTTTTCAATTAACTTATTAAAGAATTTGTTTTCAATTATTCATTAATATAACTAATAGTAACTATACATGTATACGTTATAGTTTTAAATCTTGTTTTTGGACTACACTGTAACTCTTTAACGCCAAATTACACCTAAGCAAATTACAATTACTGAAACACAGATATCTGACAACAAAAATAACATAAAACACTGCAAAATTGTTTTTCAACTTAATCTAAAACATATTGAACTAATAAAAATTGTAAATAAAAGTAATGTCATACCAAAACTCTTTCTCTGCTTAAAAGTTTTTGCTGTGTTGTCTCTTGCTTCAGGCATTTTCAGTTTCCAATGAGATTCAATTCAGAATGTTATCATCAAACATACCACAAAGCTGTCAACTGTCCAATTAATAATCTGTTACCTACTCATGTACGTGTGAGATATTACGTCATAGTATCACACCTCGTTTGATTGGTTTAATTTAGTTCAGGTAGCATAAACTCTAGTATTCGGTTATACGGTTAATTTTATAACAACGAAAAAGATCGTTAGTAAAGAAAATTATTGTATAAACAATAAAAGAACATGATAAATTACGTTCTATACTGTCTTGTTGCATTGCAACATTTCAAGAGCGCGGTAATTTTTAACCTCCCTGTACGTAGCTCAGAGGGCAATGTGGTATACGCGGGACTTTGTTGTTGCTTTGTTTCTACTTTTCTTAAAGTCATTGCTTCAAATTGCATGGAAAAAAATAACTTCAACCAAGTATTTACGTATGCGAATTTCGTGCAAAATGTTTTCATCGCAATGTTACAGATGAATAATATTGTAAAACAAGTGAAAAAGTTTCAATACCTTGTTGATAGGTGAAAAAAACTCAGTTTTATGATATTGCTTATCAAAAACATTTTAAAATAAATGAATGAAAAAAGAAAAAAACATGTATGATTTATTACAATGTAGGTAGATTTTAATTGTTCATTTAATAAATGTTACAACGATCACCATGAAATCATCTGTGATTTTATCTTACATGTAAGTATGAATTATTAATTTTGTTGCGGATTATAATCGTTCCCTTCTCCATGAAAGTACAGAGATAGCTGATCGGTGTTCTCAGTCACTATTTTATATGTATGTGAAATGTGATTCAGAATTCCCATCTATCCTCTTTATCAACAATGTATATCTTATATGTCGGATGATATAATAACCTTGGACACACGAGGAATATATGCTCAAGAAAGAGTTCTTAATTTTTTCAAATTTGTCAAACAAAGTTTTGCTTCCTGTACACGAGTTCATTTGTACTATTAAATAGGCTGAAGCCTCTCAACATATTAGAATTAAAGTTTATATATAAATGTATAAGTGTTGAGTTTTCTCAAAGTAGATAGTAGCTGGCATCTATGTACAGACAAACTCAATCCTAGCCTTCAACTTTCTTAATTTTTGTTGTGTTGAGCAAACTTTAAGGAGTCCAATTTGACTATTTCAATAAAATTCTGAAGTGTTACTATTTTGACATTTACTCCAACTGCAAAATAGGTAACATCCTTCAATAAACGTATCTAAACCGTCCAGAGTTTTCTAATGATGGTATACGAATGTTTATGAAAGTGCCCCCCCCAAAAAAAATACATCACATTTGGTTGTGGTTACATATTCAGATTGTCTGTGTCTCCCTCTTGCAGCTGTTAAAGGTTGGGCGACTTAATGTAGTTTGAGTCCAAAATGCAACTGGTCCTCTGGTAAATAAGGATAATCTTTAGCATATGGAGGTAAGCCATGTTGTAAATAATTGCTTAACTCGTGGGAATAAAGCATGTGTTAAAATCGATTGTTTGTGCTCTGCATGCTGTATAACATAGTTGCTTTGTTGAACATGGACATTGGACGAAGTCACGCAAATTAAAATCCTCTGATTTTGTTTACTTTTTCAGATTGTTTATTAATATTAATAGTGTCTATATATTGATCCTAACTGAGTGTCTGAAGAATATTTCAAGATACTTTACAACCTCTTGGATATGGATGTGGATGTTATACGTATTATACTTAATAGGTTTCCGTTTCTTTGTAGAATATGTAGAATCTGGAGCTTTTAGGTGTGAATATCTTTAGCCAGTTTCTTTTCCATCGTAAGTTGCCAAGGTTTTTTAGAAGAAAATGTGCATCAACCATGTTCTTTAAATGGCAACAGATCTACATCTATATGTATATAATGTTGTTGCATTCCTCATAAAAGTTGATTTAATCTATCAACGGTTGGGGTACCTTATCAAAGGCTTTGGAGACATCAAGTAATATTGTGTCTGTTTGGCTGTGGATATTCAATCTTTTCTATGACTTGTAAAACCATGTCGTGAATTGTGATATATTTACTTGGATACTCAATCTTGAATTCTTCTTTTTCTATGGCTTCCATGTAATTTTGTTGTGATTAATACTTCTGAGGGATCCCTTTGTTTCCAGATTTTTATACTTCACAACAGCAGGTGTCACATGATTTTTAAGTAATCATTATTCTAATCATTTTAAATTTGAAATCAATAATAATATAATTTTATAAAACCAGTTTTCGATAGCATGATTTGCAACAATTGATAAAAAGAGAGAATTAAAATCCCCAAAGAAAGTCCAAAATGACAAAATTGAAAATGTTGTAGGCTCGGTTTGATTGAGTCTGTTCATGGACAGTACTGAAAAGTGCAAGCTACTGTCCATGCCCCTAGCACCGGCTTAAGCAGTATTCAACATTTGAATAGTAATGGTAAAATTTATAATTTAAAACATCCACAGATGTGTTTATACAGCGATGATCATGGAACCTTCAATGAGACACATTAGTGCCATTCCATGAAAAGCCGTGTATGGTTTCTTAGTAAATAAAATGCTTGTGCCCTAAAGGAAAAAAAGAAAAAGACAATGGGAGAAACTAACAAAATTGAATTTTGAATGGGAATCAGAGACAAGTAATTAGAATTTAGCTGATCAGACTGTAGTAGTAGTAGTACATGTATAGGGCCAGTCATTAGTCAGAAATATGTAATTGTGAATAGGACATAAGGTGATCGTAATGTATTATATTATATTACTCGAGGACACAATACCATAAAAAATTCTTTCTTTCCTAGGAGTATACGTCTTTGGAATAGCCTTCCTTTAACTGCTCAGTCTATAGCCCCAGTATTGACCCATTCTACAAATTCTAATTTGCACACTATATCTTTTAAATTAATAGTCTTGTATAACATTTATTCTTTTATCCTTTTAAAGCAGCACACCTCCAGATTCATGCTAATTTTCATGAAAATTTAAAAATGTATTTAACAGTATAATATTGTAAAGTTACCAAAAGAATGCAATTTACACATTATCAATGGCACTTACAATCTATGTAAATTACTATAAAGAGGTCAAAATATGCAAAAGTAACGCAGTAGAAATATAATTATACATACTGAAAAATTCGGCCATTAATCGCACATAACATGTAAATTTTTACTAGAATTTTGAATCTTTATACCTTTCCTAAAATCATAGTAGATTTTTCTCAGATTTGATTTAATCGAAATATTTTTGCTCATCTGGAGGCGTGCAGCTTTAAATTTGCATATAAATAATGTCTTTTATTAACAGTTCCCTGACAACGCGCCTGCTAGTCATAATCAGAATTGATTGCTACATGTAAGCAGTATCATGTAGATGTAGATGGTAAATTTGAAAGTTATTTGTGATTATATCAAGGAAAATGAATAATTCACGAAAATTTCTGTTGTTCTTACTTATATATAGCGAGTTTATTTGTAAGTGTCAGATATATCATTCTCATACAAATCTCACATCTGTATTTTTATTACTATTTTTTTATTTTATGTTATTTTATTTTGAATACTCAATTTTAAACATATTTTTGGGACCATTTCTTATCCTGTAAGTCCAGAGGGAAAATTAATTGTTCAGTCTGACCCATACCGGAATAACGACACGGCTTTTATCAAGACTTTTGATGAAACGAAAAAAATACACGTGTTTTCAAATAAATCACAATTGAAAATATACAAAGGTATGATAGTTATTATAGAATAAATATTTTTATATAAATGTACAGATTATAATGATTTTCTGTCAAACAAATCTCTATATTCATAAGATTTACACTTTTATTGAAATTACCTAATTTCGGATGTTTATTAAATTCGGATACATCAAACTAGACGATTATTTAGAGGTCTGGGCCACGTCAAAAATATAAATAATTTAAATGCATTTAGAACCAATACTTAAGGTTGAACTAGATAATATGGCAAATAATGAAATAAAGGACAGAACAATGCTGGACAGCAGACTGTATTTCTTGACAGGACAGTGATTCAAGATAAGGCGACCTGATTTGACCTTAAAAGGCAATTAATACTCATAAGTATTTGTAAAATATATAGTTTACTTATACCCTAATATGAATTTCAAATTTAATCCAATACAATTTGAGTCGTTAACAAAAGTTTGATTTGCAGTTTTTCCTTTTCTATCTCATCAGTATTCTTTGTTGTTTCTAAATATCTGTTTTGTACATGTTTGTCATTGTCACTGTCCACTTGCCAAAAGAGAGCCAGCACTGTCTTGAAGTATGGTGTGTCCTGTCCTGACACACTGCCCACATTTATATGATCTGCCCTGGACTTAAACACCACCCACCTGATACACTGCCTCCTTTCTGCTCTATCTGACAGTCCACCCTGTTATGATACACAGTCACAGTTAGCTTTGTTCTGTGCCCAAATTGAGGCAGCTTTAAGTTTAATGTTGTATTGTAATTATTCAACATCCATAATATCTATTAGACTGGTGACATGGTCTATAAAATATAATATACTGTAAGGTTTTTGGCTTTAAGCAAGCAGGTTATATTAAGAACAGGATTTAAGGTTATAAACTTAATAAAGAAGTTCTCTAGACTCAAACTCAGATTTCAGTTATCTGATTGGTCAGAAAATGCCATAAAATGTACATCGGCCAATGAAAATCTTGAGATTTGAGTCAGAAAAAAGTTTTGTAGCATACTTTACCAGAATAGTTATTGTACCAAAAAAAAAGGAAAAATTGTATCATGATAATTAGCTACTTGAATCAAAAATTTGGAAAGACCTGTATTGATATCGCAGTCTTCACGAAAAACTTTAAAAAGCACAGGACATTCGGGCCAGTAAAATTTCAAATCTTACTGGACCTGGTGATTTTTAGCCGGACCAAAATTAATGCATAGATAGGTAATAAATTGATGGGTAAAGGAAAACACTTTATCATACTTCCCTTGCAGGGCCTTTTTCCCCTTCTTTGCTGTAGCCTGTATCAGGCTACTTCCCCAAGCCAAATTACTACCTTTTTTCCCCAAAAAACAGTCTAAATTTCCCCTTCTGGCAAATATTTCCCCTTTAACTGAAGAATAAAACTTGTAAAGAAACTTTCTTGTTTTAAAATAGATAATTGTTTTGTCCAATGAAAGCTAATAATTCAATAACCCAATAGAGGGATACCTTGATTTAATACAATGGATGTTAACTCAGAGCCTCAGTCAGAGTTTGCAACTTTCTAAAAACAGCATGGGAAATCCCTGCTGCCTTATTTTTTAGTGCACATGTGATTTATTACGACAATATGGCGACAGATACGATGTCACTAATGTAAACAATGTCATAGAACAAGAAGAAAATACGATTGAGTGACGTTTGTAATTGTTTATTAAAAATTGGATGAATTGATGACCTTGTGTCCGAGTAGCACAACATGCCCAACTGTCGGAAATAGCGAGCCTAGCACATCAGTGCCAGTAATACAGTGTAAACTGATAATAATGTACCCTCTGAATCAAACCAAGAACCCTAACATGACCAACATAAAATACTATAAATAAGAAATATGAGTTAATATAAAGGGTCAATATATAAAATTGTTCTGTAAAAAATGTTTTTTACTCCTGTTGGACAGAAAGCTTAGTACTATAGTAAACCTTAAATGTGATTGGAGGAAGATATGCAAATAAATTATGATATTCCCCCGAAATGTGTGAAAATATGATATTTTCCCCAAAAGTGTGGAAATCACGCATTTTTTCCCCACAAAAAGGGCTAGGGCGCCTTCCCCAAAACTAGTGAAAAGGCCCTGCCTTGATAATTTTGAAAGAAGCATAATACTTTCTGTATTCTGGGCCATATGTTTACAGCTTTGAAAAATCTATAAGGACCAAATGTTTAGGCAAAATTGACTAGCATTGAACATGAACAACGCATTTTGCTTTAAACAAATCACTTTCACACAAAATATTAACTTAACTCAATAATCATAAAATCATAGCTAAATAATGACCATAATAAACAATGGTTTGATTTCCGTAACTGTACGATGCGGTACAGAAAATATCCAAGAAAAAAATGGCGGCCTCCATTACTCAATACAATTTAGACATCTCTCGCTGTGTTTTGAACATTTAGGACAGAATTGATGGGTTTCATTTGCAAAAAAGGCAAAAATATCAATCTTTTAGAGAGCCCTGCTTCATTATTTTGATGAATTTTTCTTATAATATTTTTTCATGGCCAAAAATCTACTGGCCTGTTGGACCACCAACCTTATAATAATCACTGGACCGATGCTAAATTTAGTGGCCTCGGGCCTCGGACTGGCGTTAATTTCGAAGACTGTATCGCATTAAAAAAATTGAACTGTCATATATTTTTTTTAATTCCAGAAATATATTTGCAACCATGGAGAAAAGCAATGTCATTAGCACAGTATTTCAACATTCATCTGTCAAAGTTGATGAAGTTTGTACCAACTTAATAGAGAGTATTCAAGATAGTCTAGATCAAGGATTCAAGTTTGAAGATATTTCCTCATACAATCACAATCTTAGTGTGTTGAAAGATCTTCTTTGTTGCCATAGTAACAAGATTAGTGAAGAAACTAGCAAGGATATTGATGTAGAAAATCTGTATGGCTTGAAAGCAAATGTTGTTGAAAAAGTTTGCTTACCTTTGTTAGAATGTTTGTACCCATCTACAGATTCTAGGTCGGATGTGCAAATTTTATTAGGAATTGTTGGAAAGCTGGTGGCAGTTTGTGTACAGAGCAATGAAGAAATATTGGCCAGAGTTCTTGAATATATTGAAATCAACATTGAAAGATACACGGATGCCAAGCCAACTAGCTATGATTTACAGCATGATAAATCTCTGATAGACATACACACCCTTCTAGAAGTTACAAGACATGTGATCAATGCTGCTGCAAGAGAAAGAATTGATAATGAGAAACTTGTTGCTAAGTTTAAGTCAATATTTATGACGGTAACCAAGTGTCTAGAGTTTATATCTGTAGAGCTAATTGGAAGCACATGTGTTCCAGTTCTCCTGAAGGTTATTAAAGTAGATATAAAAAATGTCTCTGAATATGCTGAATTTATATGGAAATATATTCTGAACTTTTCACAGTTAAACGACAGAAGGAAACAATTCTTACTGCTCTGTGGATTTGCTAACTATTTCTTCCCAGTAACAGGAGAATTGTGCTGTGTAGATGTTAAATGTAAACAAGAGTTTTGGGAAATTCTTCAGTCTGGATTAATTAACAAGGACTCTGTGAATAGAAAGAGATCTCTGTATTTGTTAAAAAGGATTGTAGATATATGTGAAAGTACATCTTTGGAGGTAAATACAGAACAGTCACAACCAATATTCTGGTGGAGTAAAGACAGATCTTCAGAGCTATCAAAGACATGGCAAGATTTCATGCTACTTGCAGAAGTTTTGGAGGAAAAACAGGTAAAGATGCCCTTACTGACCATTAAAACCTAACAAAAATTAAAAACAACAACAACAAAAAAGAAAAGAAAATGCACTTGTGTCATGAAATCTGAAACATCCATGAAGTATGGTCAGGCAATCTTATATGTCATTGCAGTCTGACAAAACTATTTGCTGCAAGGTTTCAGCTTTTTAATTCTGAAACTTTATAACAAAGTAAAGTCCCAGATTCAAAGCAGGACAATTCCATTTTAATAATTTAGGCTGACATGGACATGATAAAGGTAAATGGCTGCGTGGCCGTTTGGTTTACACATTAAACTAGTAATCTAAGGATTGCTAGCCATGTGGATTCAAACTCAGGGGCAAGCCGTTGTTTCTGTTAGCAAGAAATTTTACACTCATTGCTTAGTACAGGCTAAATCCAGGAACATATTTGAGTGTGTTTCAATAAGTTGTGGCTTTCAACACAATCGAACTAAAATAAATTAGTATAAATTAAACTGAGGTAAATAGTATCTACACTTATATTTATTAAATTGAAATGTACAAATGTAACTAAATTTGTATTATATCTGTTTGATCTATGAAATAGGAACACTTTTTATATGCCGGAAAGAATTTCGGGCATATTATGTTATACCCCCTGGCGTCCGTCCGTCTGTCCGTACGTCCGTCCATCTGTCCGTCCGTCCGTTAGCAATTTGGTTTCCGGAGCATAACTTAGGATAGGATGATTGTCCATATTTGGTAGAAGACCCCTATTGATTTTGGGGTTACAAGGTCAAAGGTCAAGGTCACTATGACCTTAAAACTGAAAACAGTTTCCGGAGCATAACTTAAGTTTCATTTGACCCACAGTGTTCAAACTTCATAGGATGATTGTCCATATTGGGTAGAAGACCCCTATTGATTTTGGGGTCACAAGGTCAAAGGTCAAGGTCACTATGACCTTAAAACTGAAAACAGTTTCCGGAGCATAACTAAAGTTCCATTTGGCCCACAGTGTTCAAACTTCATAGTATGATTGTCCATATTGGGTAGAAGACCCCTATTGCATTTGGGGTCACAAGGTCAAAGGTCAAGGTCACTATGACCTTAAAACTGAAAACAGTTTCCGGAGGATAACTTTAGTTCCATTTGGCCCACAGTGTTCAAACTTCATAGGATGATTGTCCATATTGGGTAGAAGACCCCTATTGATTTTGGGGTCACAAGGTCAAAGGTCAAGGTCACTGTTACCTTAGAACTGAAAACAGTTTCCGGGGCATAACTTAAGTTCCATTTGGACAATAATATTGAAACTTTAAAGGAGGATTGTTTTGTGAAGGAGGTAATTCTTTATTTAATTCCCATGTCTTACAAATGCTTCATCTTTACTAAAAAAAAAAATCACTTTCGGGCATATAATGCTCCGCCTAGCGGTGCTCTTGTTTGACATACTAACATGCAGTAGAACTTAGTAACAATGGTATTTCTGGGTGTTGTTTGATTTGTGATTTTTTTTTCAATCTTTAGCATTGTAATTGCTCAAATTTGATTTCGGATATAAATTTTTCTTGTATTTTAGGTACATGTCATCAGACCTCTACTACCAAGAATGAAACTGCTTGTGAAAGCCACAGAAACCACCACGAGGAAAGGTTTGTTGGAATCTTGTGTGATGATTTTTATTCAATCTGATGTTAACAATTCCATGCATATTTCTAGCTATTAAAACAATATGAAAGACTTTGTTGAATTCTGTTAAACAATCTTTATTTCTACTAAAAAAACTATACTTTGAACTACATGTAATTCTATGCCAATGAATTAAAAAAGTTTTAACTACATGTATTATTATTTTGCTTAGAAATTGTGGCTTTAATATAGTATTATTGTTCTGTAATAAAAATATTCATGGACTTTGGATTCTTTCGTGTGAGGAAGCTATCAAGCTAGCTTACGGAATGTCCGTGGTTCTACTCAGGTAGGCATTTGTGCCTGAAATAATGCATGAAAGGGCACCTGAGATATTCCTCCACCAGTAAAGCTGGAACATTGTCATATGACTTATACTGTGTCAGTGTGACGTAAAACCAAACAAAAATAAACAATACTGGTTTTTTCTTTTCTTTTTTTAAAAAAATCTCACGTTGTACCATTTATATTAAGTTTTTTTCCTTAACATTTCAGGACCACCTTTATTACATACCTCCTGGTTGATGACAATAATATTGAGAAGTTCATATCATGAGAGTCTCCAGATTATAAGATGGTCAGCGGAAACAATTCTCTCCCTTGATCTGTACAAGTGTCCTATGATAGAACAAGGTTTAGATCAGGTATTTATGATGGAAGATTAGTCTCCCTATATGATTGTGATGGAAGATTAATCTCCCTTTATGTAAATGATGGAAGATTTACCTCCCTTTATATGTGATGGAAGATTTATTTCCCTTTTTTCAAATTGGAGTTAGGGCATCTTTTGATAAAACAGTCTTTTGTCAGATTTGTAACAGTTATTTCCTGTTATGTTTATATTTTGAATTAAGGTTATCTACCTTCATTCCTGCAGTAGGGTTTATAAAGGGATCAAAGCAGTTATCTCCCTTCATCCCTGCAGTAAGATTTAGAACAGGATCAAAGCAATTATCTCCCTTCATCCCTGCAGTAAGATTTAGAACTGGATCAAAGCAGTTATCTCCCTTCATCCCTGCAGTAAGATTTAGAACAGGATCAAAGCAATTATCTCCCTTCATCCCTGCAGTAAGATTTAAAACAGGATATCAAAGCAATTATCTCCCTTGATCATTTAAAACAGGATCAAAGCAATTATCTCCCTTGATCCCTGCAGTAAGATTTAGAACAGGATCAAAGCAGTTATCTCCCTTGATCCCTGCAGTAAGATTTAAAACAGGATCAAAGCAATTATCTCCTTTTATCTTTCTAAATTTGTGTAAGAGAACACATAATAAATTCAAACAATACAGAAATGATGACACAATAATTATAAACTTTATTTACTAATACTTTTCAGTATTTGACAGGAGAAATGCTGTATTCTCTTCAAGAGCCAAAACTGTATGTGAGGTAAGCTGTTCAGTTGTAATTTATGAATAATTATTATACCCCCAAAAACGAAGTTTGGGGGGGTATATAGGAGTCACCCGGTGGTCGGGCGGTCGGTCGGTCGGTCCAGACGTCCGTTGCATTTTCCTTGTCCGGAGCATAACTTGAAGACTAATGATTGGAATTCAATATAACTACACACAATGGTCAAGCACATTGAGAGGAAGTGCAATGCACAAGAACCATAACTCTATCTTGACTAATTACAGAGTTATTGCCCTTTGTTACTTTTCCTTGTCCGGGGCATAACTTGAAAACTACTGGTTGGAATTCAAAACAACTTCATACAATTGTCAAACACAATAAGGGGAAGTGCAGTGCACAAGAACCATAACTCTATCTAAAGTAATTACAGAGTTATTGCCCTTTGTTACTTTTCTATTCCTTTCTTTTGTCCGGACCATAACTTGAAGACTAATTGTTGGGATTTATTATAACTTAATACAATGGTCAAGCACATTGAGAGGAAGCGCAGTGCACAAGAACCATAACTCCATCTTGACTTATTACAGAGTTATTGCCCTTTGTTACTTTTCTGTGTCCTGGGCATAACTTGAAAACTACTGGTTGGAATTCAAAACAACTTCATACAATTGTCAAACACAATAAGGGGAAGTGCAGTGCACAAGAACCATAACTCTATCTAAAGTAATTACAGAGTTATTGCCCTTTGTTACTTTTCCATTCCTTTCTTTTGTCCGGATCATAACTTTAAGACTAATGGTTGGAATTCAATATTACTACATACAATGGTCAAGCACATTGAGAGAAAGTGCAGTGCACAAGAACCATAACTCTATCTTGACTAATTACAGAGTTATTGCCCTTTGTTACTTTTCCATTGCTTTCTTTTGTCCGGACCATAACTTGAAGACTAATTGTTGGAATTCATTATAACTTAATACAATGGTCAAGCTCATTGAGAGGAAGTGCAGTGCACAAGAACCATAACTCCATCTTGACTTATTACAGAGTTACTGCCCTTAGTTACTTTTCCTTGTCCAGAGCATGACTTGAAAACTACTGGTTGGAATTCAAAACAACTTCATACAATGGTCAAGCCCAATAAGGGGAAGTGCAGTGCACAAGAGCCATAACTCCATTTTGACAAAATACAGAGTTACTGCCCTTTGATACTTTTCCTTGTCCGGAGCATAACTTAAAACGTACTGGTTGGAATTCAAAACAGCTTCATACAATGGTCAAGCACAATAAGAGGAAGTGCAGTGCACAAGAACTATAACTCCATCTTCAGTATTTATAGAGTTATTGCCCTTTGTTTCTTTTCCTTGACTTTCTGGACTTATTACAGAGTAATAGAGTACAGAGTAATTACCATAGGCCACCTTTTATGTAAATAGGTTTATGAAGTTTAATGTATCAAAACACTTTTATCAAGCTTTTTTCATGACAGATATTTGTTTTTCTTTTTTGTTGTTGAAAGTTTAGTTTTTGGCAACAGAAGTTAATGTGAATCTCTCACTATTATCAATTTATAGATACATAACTTTTCAGCTACTCATTTTTAGAAATTGATAAGTTTTCTCTGTTAAATTTGGGTTGCCGCAATTAAAACATCACTAATGAATTCACAAATGTTAGATACATTATGTATATTACAGGGAACAAGGATCTTCTCTTGGCACAATGCCAGCCATGGCTGAGAAGCTTGTCACTTTCTTTACAACATGTTGGGAGGTCATGTCACAGGAAAAACGAGGTACTAAATTTGTGTTATTTCATTTAAAAGCACTGGCTTTTAATTGGTAAGTATTAAACAGTAGTAAGTTGAGCACAAGATTTATTTGCCTGGCCACATTTTTAACAGGTTTTGCTTTTCCATCATTTTTAGCAAGGCTATTTGAAGAATAAGAAAAGCTTTTGTACTGACCTGTCACCCAGTGTTGGTATATCCGTCAAATTAAGGTAAAATTTTTGCGAGCAGGTTGGTATTTCCAAAACTATTGAAGGAAATGGGTTAAAACTTCACACTTTTGTTCTTTGATTATCTAACATGATGGGTACAGGCCCTATAACTTTTGTGTTACATTTTGTTCCCTTTTCTTCAAGCACTGAAACTTGTTGAGCGTGCTGTGGGGCAGACAGCCATGCTGTCTTATGGACAGCTCTTGTAGTTGAAATTTTGGTCCTTTGATGTGTTTTTGTGCTGGTAGACTTGAGTGCAAAACAACAATCTTCTTGTCACTCTTTTCTTGTTTTGAAAAACTCCAACAAAAATATTGTGTAATTATAATATATGATTATAATTAGTGATGATGGACATATTATAATAAGTCATGATGGACATTTGATACAGAGCAAAACCTTTGACAATTTACATGTTTGTTGAAGTTTCAAATGTAAAAGTAAGAAAGAATTGAAAAGGTTTTCAAATTTTATTTTCATCATGGTTATCATAATATAAGTTGAAATAGCAATTTGTACATTATATTGAGATTTTACCACAATCAAATAAAGACATAAAAATTATGCTTGACATATCGACAAGTCATAAAAATAATCACGTAAATTTCAGTATATTTACAATATTACAAATCCTGCTATGAAGGAATGTATCGATGTATAACACATTGTATATACGACTTTACAATACAACCTGTATGTTTGGTGTCTGGTCTGAAATGATATTCATCACTCCTGAAAACAAAGACTACATATGTTGTAGTAAACACATAAAAAATTGTGGAAATAGCAAATATTCATATATTACACATATATATTACAAATTACGTTAGCACATTTCAAGTTTTATGTATTTTTTTGGTTAAAGGTACTCCACTGAGGTCAAAAGCATAAAAACATAAAATTTAAATTTCTTACAGGTTTGGTAGTTCAAATAGAAAAAAATGTTAAAGAAAATCAAGAAATATACAAATGTACTCAGAAATGAATTGAAAATCACACTTTTGTTGTATTCTTAGCCCGATTTGAGATGCAATTTTGGGTTGTTTTTCATATAATAATAATTCTGGAAAAAATGTTTTTTTTGCACACAAGTTGCTGGTCGAGACCTACATCAAATAGAGCATTAATCTTGAAAAATTATTTCCAGTCCCATGTCAAAAACCTCAGTGTTGTCCCTTTAATATTGCACAAAATTTTATTAGAACTATATAAATATAATAAGTTTACAAATTATATATCACACAGTTTTATCACTCTATTACTATTAATGCTTGATCTAGTAACTGGCAAGAAACTGTTTAAATGTCTTTGAATGGACATATTTTGTCAGCATCACATTTATGAACCTTTTGACAAATTTTACATCCATTTAAACTTTTAATTTCTTTAGCAGTTCATTCATCAAGAAATTTTCAGTCTATATAATACAAGTCTATTGGCACAGGAACATTATTTGTTTATCTTCAGTTAGTAGCACCTTTATGTTTCACTATCAAATATAAGCACTTTTTTCAGTGAATTTTTACTCTTTTCAAATGAAAAGTGTTCTTAATGAAGTATTAAGAAATTTAATCCATATTCTTAAATGTTAAAATCTAGTTACATCTAAATTGCATCATAGCGTTATTTGTGTATTGTATAGCTGCAATATCTGTCAATGTGGAAGAGGCAGGTGATTCTAGTTCCGTCTGCTCCAATATGGAGGTTGTGTCGTCTGCTTGTAGTGAAGCTATAATTTGGCGAGAAATTTTCGTCACTTGCTGATTGATACGCAGCCTGCAGTTTTCTAACATATGTTTAACTCCCATGACAGATGAATGATGCATGTAGAACAAGGAGTTGTCAAGGTCATCTGAGGTAAGGTCACTGACAAAAAGACGTCTGCTGATAGTTTCTACTTTGATATCTGAAATAGGGTGGAAATTATATATATATTTTTTTGGGGGGGGAGGGGGCGGGTGGGGGGGTGCAAAATTTAGAATTATTAAAAAAAAAAAGTGAAGTACAAAATATCAAATACAGTTTCACATAAATACATACTAAACCTTTTTTCAAGAAGCCAAATTATTGAAAGATTTTGCAAGTTGCTACAATTCAATTATTTATTTAAAGACAATTCAATTTATTTTTGATGTCTTACAAATTATAAATATTTATTTAAATAAACATTTCTCAAAAGTAATGTAATATTTATTTAAAGAAAAATTTTCATCCTACAAAAGAACAGTGATTTTAACTTACCTATGTCTTGAATTTGTTTTACAATTGCATCTTGGGTAATCAACAACTTTTGAAGTTTTCTTGCTGACTTTATCTGATCCATACTGTTGATTTACTTGCAAATATGTTAGTAATGAAGAAAAATATTAACTGAGAAATTATATGAATGCAATAAAATGTTCTATGTATTATTTTAGATAACACTGATTATTTTATTCGTAGCTAAGACTGAATAATTCAATATCTATAACTTTGCATATATACACGAATTTATATTACAAGGATCGGACACTCCCAGTTAACCCTATATAAATGCTTAAATATCTTGTCGTGCACCCGATAAAGGTACATCGATCGATAATTTATCGGCGCTAAGCGAAAATGCCCGTTCGCAACGGATACCTACTTTACAAAATACCATATAGATTTTCCATTTATTATCCGATTTTTGAAATTTAAAGTTTATTTTCAAGAAAAATGCTTGTTCAATTCAAATATCTAATTTATTTTTTAAAGATACAGACTATCTGTCTGCTGCAACGATTAAGAAATTAACTTGACGAAATCCGCGGTAAATTTACATTTTTTATATAAAAAGCAGATATTTGAAATTTATTATTACGGTAACATAATAAATTCAATTTCAAAATAAAAAAGAAGCCGATGGAAGTTATTCACAGTTGATCAAAGATGCAATATTTAAGATTTATATGGTTATGTAGTCAAATTAATTGACCCATAATTGTTTTACGGGTAATGTATTGCGGCCTTTACAATTCGCTAAACACGTAAAGTAAATTTATTCATTTTTTTAAATACAAGATATTGCTGATATTGTATTGTCAATACATGTACTGCCATTTTCATAGAATATTTAAATTTTCTTCATCATTATATATTTTTTTTTTGTAAATCTGTTTTCAAATGTCGGTGCAGTGAAGTAGACAATCATCGTAACAGTAATTAAAGTACTCTCGTGTGACTGTCTCGATTCCGGCCTTTTTTGTCACTCGTATATATCACTCGTATATTTTAATTATTCTTTTTATTTGAATACCTGTAGAAAGATATTTCTGATGTTTTTTAATGTAACGCTAAAAAACAATAAAAATCTTTACAGTTTGAGTCCGTATTATGCGAAATAAAAGTAACTGTTGATTATTTTTTACACATCGCTGAAATTTCTTTGAAGTTTTATTACTTTTGAAGGGGGTTAATTACCAGGTAACAAGTGAGAATTGAAAAACTTTATTTTCAAACTTTCATTATCAGGTTACATGTGAAAATTTCAACACTCAATCTTTAAAAACAAATAGAATTTGAATGTATATGTTGTATGTGCGCGGTCTTTAACTACAGTCCATGGCATGTGTGGTAAGAAAATGATTCTGAAGAGGATATATATAAATACAATGTAAATATATTTTCTTTATTAACATTTATAAATGAAATTGAAAATAAACAACTTAATTTGAATAGTCCTTTCTTTGAAAAATAATGAAAATAAACATATGATAAATAAATCATTTGACGTGAATTGTGAAGGATAACTATAAAAAATGTGTTTCAAAAAAAAAATATATTTAAAACAGCTGTTCTATATGCAAATAAAAGTTTCTTCCTTGCCAATCTAATGAATTCATCTATATATGAACGAATGTCTAGAATGATATGAAAATATATTTAATACACTAATTAGTAGAATATTTACTATATTTATACTAATATACAGGTAGATCAAATAAAAAATGTACAAATCATTTGGAAATAATTCACAGAAATAAAGACACATTTCAAACATGAATTTCTTTAAAAGTATTTTAGCAATCAAGAAACATTTTTTTGCAATGCCACCATTAAACCATGTAAAAAATAATTATCTTAATCTGAATTGCGGTAATAATTTATGCTTGACGTAAAAGGGCGTCAAAGTGTAGAGAGTATGCCGATACAATAGGCGAATATTTTTTAAATTAGGTACTTTTTAACTAAGCGCCGCAGCGTTCTATCGGCATATTTTCATATATTAATACTTTAGCTGCACAAAATAATACTGTATCAATACATTCATATGTGTATAATTTTTCACAAAGCTGCGATAACATCACATACTCTTGTGAAAATATGTCATATTTCACACTCCTAGCGTTCCGCCATCTCATTCTGTCCACCTTTATCCGATTCCGCGCATGCGCGCGACGGGACTTTAAGCTAAACGAAAGTGTCCGATCCTTGTAATATAAATCCGTGATATATATAAGAAATAAATTTCACGGTTACACCTTGCAATGATTATTTGCTGGGGTTTGAGATAAACTAGCCCAGTGTAAGGTATTTATAGACCTAGACAAGGTCTACATGGATGCCAAACTGTGACCTACATTTGCCTTTGATCCCCTTATTACCTTACCCTTGATTGTTTTCACAAGTTCATTTAGGGAACAATAGCCTGCCCTAGACTGTTAATTACTATTCAATTATAATTTGGAAAAACTGCTAAAATTGTTAAAATAAACTGTTAATATTTCTCTTTTATAATCTGTTTATAGTTTGATTATTATTTGATTACTTCAA